CACTGACACACACCATAACACTCACACACACTGACACACACCATAACACTCACACACTGACACACACCATAACACTCACACACACTGACACACCCATAACACTCACACACACTGACACACACCATAACACTCACACACACTGACACACACCATAACACTCACACCACTGACACACACCATAACACTCACACACCTGACACACACCATAACACTCACACACACTCACACACACCATAACACTCACACACACTGACACACACCATAACACTCACACACACTGACACACACCATAACACTCACACACACTCACACACACCATAACACTCACACACACTGACACACACCATAACACTCACACACACTGACACACACCATAACACTCACACACCGGACACACACCATAACACTCACACACACTGACACACACCATAACCTCACACACACTGACACACACCATAACACTCACACACACTGACACACCCCATAACACTCACACACACTGACACACACCATAACACACACCACTGACACACACCATAACACTCACACACACCCACACCATAACACTCACACACTGACACACACCATAACACTCACACCACTGACACACACCATAACACTCACACACACTGACACACACCATAACACCACACACACTGACACACACCATAACACTCACACACACTGACACACACCATAATCACTCACACCACATACACAACCAACACCTCAACACACGCCACACCATAACACTCACACACACTGACACACACCATAACACTCACACACACTGACACCACACCAATACACTCACACACACTGACACACACCATAACACTCACCACACTTACACACACCATAACCCTCACACACACCACACACATAACACTCACACACACTGCCACACACCATAACACTCACACACACTGACACACACCATAACACTCACACACCACTGACACACACCATAACACTCACACACACTGACACACACCATAACACTCACACACACTGACACACACCATAACACTCACAACCACACTGACACACACCATAACACTCACACACACTCACACACACCATAACACTCACACACACTCACACACACCATAACACTCACACACACTGCCACACACCATAACACTCACACACACTGACACACACCATAACACTCACACACACTGACACACACCCATAACACTCACACACCAGCAACACCATAACACTCACACACACTGAACACACACCATAACACTCACACACACTGACACACCCCATAACACTCACACACACTGACACACACCCATAACACTCAACACACTGACACACACCATAACACTCACACACACTGACACACACCATAACACTCACACACACTGACACACACCATAACACTCACACACACTGACACACACCATAACACTCACACACACTGACACACACCATAACACTCACACACACTGACACACACCATAACACTCACACACACTGACACACACCATAACACTCACACACACTGACACACACCATAACACTCCACACACTCACACACACCATAACACTCACACACACTGACACACACCATAACACTCACACACACTGACACACACCATAACACTCACACACACTGACACACACCATAACACTCACACACACTGACACACACCATAACACTCACACACACTGACACACACCATACACTCACACACACTGACACACACCATAACACTCACACACACTGCACACACACCATAAACACTCACACACACTGACACACACCCATAACACTCACACACACTGACACACACCATAACACTCACACACACTGACACACACCATAATTCACACCTGACACACACCATAACACTCACACACACTGACACACACCATAACACTCACACACACTGACACACACCATAACACTCACACACACTGACACACACCATAACACTCACACACACTGACACACACCATAACACTCACACACACTGACACACCACCATAACACTCACACCCACTGACACACACCATAACACTCACACACACTGCACCACCATAACACTCACACACACTGACACACACCATAACCTCACACACACTGACACACACCATAACACTCACACACACTGACACACACCATAACACTCACACACACTGACACCACACATAAACACTCACACACACTGACACACACCATAACACTCACACCACTGACACACACCATAACACTCACAACACACTGACACACACCATAACACTCACACACACTGACACACACCATAACACTCACACACACTGCACACACCATAACACTCACACACACTGACACACACCAGAACACTCAACACCACACTGACACACACCATAACACTCACACACACTGACACACCACCATAACACTCACACACACTGACACACACCATAACACTCACACACACTGACACACACCATAACACTCACACACACTGACACACACCATAACACTCACACACACTGACACACACCATAACACTACACACACACTGACACACACCCTAACACTCACACACACTACAACACAACTCACACACACTGACACACTTACACACCACACTGACACACTCAACACACTGACACACACCATAAACACTCACACACAACTGACACACACCATAACACCCCACACACTGACACACACCAACACTCACACACACTAACACACCCATACACTCAACACACACACCGTAACACTCACACTGACACACACCGTAACACTCACCACACACTGACACACCCCATAACACTCACACACACTGACACACACCATAACACTCACACACACTGACACACACCATAACACTCACACACACTGACACACACCATAACACTCACACACATGACACACACCATAACACTCACACACACTGACACACACCATAACCCTCAACACCACTGACACACACCATAACACTCACACACACTGACACCAACACCATAACACTCACACACACTGACCACACCATAACACTCACACACACTGACACCACCATAACACTCACACACCACTCACACACACCATAACACTCACACACACTCACACACACCATAACACTCCCACACACTCCACACCACACATAACACTCACACACCCTCACACACACCATAACACTCACACACACTAACCACACACCACACACCATAACACTCACACACACTACACCACCATAACACTCACACACTACACACACCATAACACTCACACACACTGACACACACCATAACACTCACACACACTGACACACACCATAACACTCACACACACTGACACACACCATAACACTCACACACACTGACACACACCATAACACTCACACACACTGACACACACCATAACACTCACACACACTGACACACACCATAACACTCACACACACTGACACACACCATAACACTCACACACCCCCTACCCCAAACGGTCTCCCAACCAGGCACGCGCAGCGCGTGAAAGGACCCCCGCCCCTCACCACCCCTCGGCCCCGCCCCTCACCACCCCTCGGCCCCGCCCCTCACCACCCCTCGGCCCCGCCCCTCCCCGTGTCGCGTGATTGATGTCGCGGCGCGACGCGATGCGGGGAGATTGAACAGAACGACGTTTTAATGAGCAGCGCGACACGCGCTCTGCCCAGTCACCCAGCCCCGTCACCCAGCCCAGTCACCCAGCCCAGTCACCCAGCCCAGCCACCCAGTCCAGTCACCCAGCCCAGCCCCGTCACCCAGCCCCGTCACCCAGCCCAGTCACCCAGCCCAGCCCAGCCCCGTCACCCAATCCAGTCACCCAGCCCAGCCCCGTCACCCAGCCCCGTCACCCAGCCCCGTCACCCAGCCCAGTCACCCAGCCCAGCCCAGTCACCCAGCCCAGCCCCGTCACCCAGCCCAGCCCCGTCACCCAGCCCAGTCACCCAGCCCAGCCCAGTCACCCAGCCAAACCCAGTCACCCAGCCCAGTCACCCAGCCCAGCCACCCAGCCCAGCCCTGTCACCCAGCTCAGTCACCCAGCCCAGCCCCGTCACCCAACCCCATCACCCAGCCCAGCCCACCCACCCAGCCCAGTCACCCAGCCCAGTCACCCAGCCCAGCCCCGTCACCCAGCCCAGTCACCCAGCCCAGCCCCGTCACCCAGCCCAGTTACCCAGCCCAGCCCCGTCACCCAGCCCAGTCACCCAGCCCAGCCCAGTCACCCAGCCCAGTCACCATAACCCCGGCATCATCACCATGCAGCAGCAGCAGCACCATAGCGCCATCGTCGTCGTCGTTGTTATCCTGACGGTCATCGCCATCCACTGTCATCGCCATGACCACCACCACCACAATGTCGGTGCACGCGAGGTGCCAGTTGTAGGAAGCCATGAACACCAGCCTCAGGGACTCCCGCTTACGATTCCAGTCTGCGAGTAGCCAAACACTCGATGTTTGCTCGATACTTTCACGATCATCAGCAGCCATGGTCGACCCACTGCTGGATGATGAAGTCCCACCTCCCACGCAACACTTCCCCCGAGCCACGTCTCACGCGAGATCGGAATTCATCGCTCCGTCTCCGCGCGTTCGTCGCGTTCGAGTTCTCTCCGGGGGGGGGGGCTGTACTCTCGGGACGCCCCCCACCCCCTCAACCATTCACGGCGAATCAATCAAAGCCGCCGCGTTGGCCGCAGGCAGGCAACGAGAGAGCATGAATAATAGAACAGCGCCATCGTTTAAGTAGATGAGCGCCATCGTTTAAAGAGGAGATGGAGCCAATCACTGGGGGGGGGGGGGGGGGCGATGCCTGGCAGAGCGCCGCGCGTGAAGAGTCGTCACGTGGTGTCTGCCGGCCAGGGCCGCGTGTCCTGCCGCGCGCCCCAGCGGCTTGTCGCCGCAACTTGCCGCCTGTGGCCTCCCTCCACCCCCCCCCCCCCCTGCACGTTCACAGCCATCGACATGTCTCCTGCCTGCACGGTATCCACGCCGCAGCCTGGGAACCCTTACCCCGTGATGACCACCACGAAGTCCATGACGTTCCAGCCGTTGCGGAGGTAGGAGCCGCGGTGCAGCGCCAGCCCCAGCGCCACGATCTTGATGCCGCACTCGAAGCAGAAGATGCCGATAAAGTACGGCTCGGTCACATCCTGCCGGTAGGGGGAGGGGTCACAGTGGGGGGTGGGGGTCACGTGGTCGGGGGGAGCAGGGAGAGAGGCTCACTTGTAGTGATCGGCACGTGTAGCGTGGACGAGGCGGCTGGGTGTCATGAGCGGTCAGGCTGTGCGCGAGATCTTTGTCTACGTCGGGTGTGTGTAGGTGCCCCAGTGTATATGCGATGTATACGGAGTGTGCATATGTAAGTCCGGGGTGTACGGCTGTGTAGGGGAGTATACATAGGGGTGGTGATAGCCACCCACCACCTCGGGGGTCGTGCCAGCAGCCTTCAAAGGCGCTGATCGCGAACAGCACTTGTTGCTGCAGCCTGTTAAGTCGATACGGGGATCTTTGCCTTATATAGGGGTGTATAGGGCTGTATGCGTCTATAGGTTTGTATGGGTGTGTATAGGGGTATATGGGTGTGTCGGAGTGTCTATAGTATTTCCAGTAGACAGTATATTGGCTTGTAAAGGTGTGTAAATAGGTTTGAGTGGAGCGGTCACACAGTGGTGAGCGCTGTGCACTGTGAACCAGGCGTGCCCCGAGTTCGATTCCCACTCACGGCCTTAAACATTACAATCTGATGCTGTTATGTAAAGCGTCAACATTGGGGAGACAAAGGCGGCAGGGCTGGCCCACCCACCCCCATCGTGGTGCGGCGTGCCGGCCTTCATCTGCGGTGCTACTCGCCAACAGCACTTGCCCCAGCGGCGGTGCGAGGCTAGGTAGGGTGGTCTTTGTTTGTGTTGTGCCAGTGTAGACGTGGGGGTGTAGGTGGGGGTGTAGGTGGGGCACCAGCTGGTCCGAGAGGGGGGTCTTGTCCCCCGCGGGGAGGTGCTGCTCCAGCGCGAGCACCAGGCAGTTGGCGATGATCGTCGCAAGGATCAGGTACTCGAAGGGCGTGCGGGGGAGGGCAGAGGTCAAGGATGGACACGGTGTGTACGCGCTCACGAGAACCCACGTCTACTCGCGTGTACTCGCTCGCTCACTCACACGTGAACCCAGAGGAGTCACGGGGCACGGAGCCACGCGCGGCGCTCCACTCGCCGCCATTAACGGGAAATGTGACCAACTCCGCGCAGCTCCTCATTATTGACTCGTGGAAGGAGGCGGGGGGGGGGGCGAGACGGGGGGGGGGGGGCGAGACGGGGGGGAGGTGGAGGGAGGGGGTTTGAGGAGAAGGAGAATGCCTGGCGAGGGGGTGATACTTAAGAGGAAGACGTGGACGAGGGGGCATGCGCAGCGACTGACGCCGTGCCGAGAAGTGTGGCTTGGGCAGAGCACGACTTGGCTCGGGGTATGATGGTCGAGAGTAATAACGGAGTGGCAGCCAAGGACTGGAATGCTCAAGTCCTTCCTCTTCCCCCTTTCTCTCTCTCTTTGTAGCCCGGCGCCTGGGCATGGCGCAGTTGCACCTCCTGCGCACTCTCCACGCCGTAGCTGCACCGCCGCCTGCGAGTCGCTTCAGCGAGAGTCAGGTCGACGTGGACCAGAATTTCTGTGTTCTAGAAGTTTTGTGGCCTCTCAGGACGTGCAGGCGGGGCTGGCAGGGTGGGTCGGGGTGGGGGGTGGAGCAGAACCAAGGGGGAGGAGAGTTGAGGAGGGGGCAGGCGATGGAGGAGGGGGAGCAGGAGAGAGGAGGGTCGTCACTTGTTTAAAACACGCGTGGGTTGCTGCAGTCGATGCAGAGATTCCTCCTCTATTTCATCCGGCAATTACTGCGCTGCTTAATTAAACGTCGCGCGGTGGAGAGGGGAAGGTGGGGGGCACCATAGTTCATTAAGCCCCCCTCCCCCATCCCCCAGGTCTCTCCTACCCCTCCACCACAACATCCTCCTGCCTTTACCCCCCCCCCCCCCCGTTACAACACATTGACTGTGTCGTCTCGTTCACACTGCGTTCAAACAGCAGACTGCAGGTTACAACAACATACTCACCCACTCACCCCCCTACTCACCCACTCACCCCCCTACTCACCCACCTACTCACCCACTCACTCACTCACTCACCCATCTACTCACTCACCCACCCACTCACCACACTTACAGGTCACTGAACACACTCATCCACTCACCACACTGCTCATCACAACACTCCTCGCATTGCTCCCCTATGGAATTCCCTCCTCCCATCATCGTCGTCTTTTTTGTTTGGTTTGTTGTCCTTCCACCACTCGTCCTATTAGCATGGTTGGTTACATACGGTGCGAAATAAGTTCAACATATATACGTCTCTTTTCCCCAAAATATGACAGTAACAACGCTGGTGCTCAAACGTGTTCATTGCAATCTAATCTATGACAGCGAAAATAATGCTACTTGTTGCTGGCCGCTTGGCGTTTGGGCCTAGATGAGGCGATGCGCACCAGGGACAGCGCAGCTCATCGTTCAGCACCACGGACAGCCCCCCCCCCCCCCTCATTCAGCACCACGGACAGCCCCCCCCCCTCATTCAGCACCACGGACAGCCCCCCCCCCCTCATTCAGCACGACGGACAGCGCCCCCCCCCTCATTCAGCACCACAAACAGCGCCCCCCCCCCCTCATTCAGCACCACAAACAGCCCCCCCCCTCATTCAGCACCACAAACAGCGCCCCCCTCTCATTCAGCACCACAAATAGCGCCCCCCCCTCATTCAGCACCACAAACAGCGCCCCCCCCCTCATTCAGCACCACAAACAGCGCCCCCCCCCCTCATTCAGCACCACGGACAGTGCCCCCCCTCATTCAGCACCACAAACAGCCCCCCCCTCATTCAGCACCACAAACAGCCCCCCCCTCATTCAGCACCACAAACAGCGCCCCCCCTCATTCAGCACCACAAACAGCGCCCCCCCACTCATTCAGCACCACAAACAGCGCCCCCCCCCTCATTCAGCACCACGGACAGTGCCCCCCCTCATTCAGCACCACAAACAGCCCCCCCTCATTCAGCACCACAAACAGCGCCCCCCCCCTCATTCAGCACCACAAACAGCGCCCCCCTCTCATTCAGCACCACAAACAGCGCCCCCCCCTCATTCAGCACCACAAACAGCGCCCCCCCTCATTCAGCACCACAAACAGCGCCCCCCTCTCATTCAGCACCACAAACAGCGCCCCCCCTCATTCAGCACCACAAACAGCGCCCCCCCCCCCTCATTCAGCACCCCAAACAGCCCCCCCCCCCCTCATTCAGCACCACAAACAGCGCCCCCCCCCTCATTCAGCACCACAAACAGCGCCCCCCCCCTCATTCAGCACCACAAACAGCGCCCCCCCCCTCATTCAGCACCACAAACAGCGCCCCCCTCTCATTCAGCACCACAAACAGCGCCCCCCCCTCATTCAGCACCACAAACAGCGCCCCCCCTCTCATTCAGCACCACAAACAGCGCCCCCCTCTCATTCAGCACCACAAACAGCGCCCCCCTCTCATTCAGCACCACAAACAGCGCCCCCCCTCTCATTCAGCACCACAAACAGCGCCCCCCCTCTCATTCAGCACCACAAACAGCGCCCCCCTCTCATTCAGCACCACAAACAGCGCCTCCCTCTCATTCAGCACCACAAACAGCGCCCCCCTCTCATTCAGCACCACAAACAGCGCCCCCCTCTCATTCAGCACCACAAACAGCGCCCCCCCCTCATTCAGCACCACAAACAGCGCCCTCCCTCTCATTCAGCACCACAAACAGCGCCCCCCTCTCATTCAGCACCACGGACAGCGCCCCCCCTCTCATTCAGCACCACAAACAGCGCCCCCCTCTCATTCAGCACCACAAACAGCGCCCCCCCCCCCTCATTCAGCACCACAAACAGCGCCCCCCCCCCCTCATTCAGCACCACAAACAGCGCCCCCCTCTCATTCAGCACCACAAACAGCGCCCCCCTCTCATTCAGCACCACGGACAGCGCCCCCCCTCTCATTCAGCACCATAAACAGCGCCCCCCCCTCATTCAGCACCACAAACAGCGCCCCCCCCCTCATTCAGCACCACAAACAGCCCCCCCCCTCATTCAGCACCACAAACAGCGCCCTCCCTCTCATTCAGCACCACAAACAGCGCCCCCCTCTCATTCAGCACCACGGACAGCGCCCCCCCTCTCATTCAGCACCACAAACAGCGCCCCCCTCTCATTCAGCACCACAAACAGCGCCCCCCCCCCTCATTCAGCACCACAAACAGCGCCCCCCTCTCATTCAGCACCACAAACAGCGCCCCCCTCTCATTCAGCACCACGGACAGCGTCCCCCCCTCTCATTCAGCACCACAAACAGCGCCCCCCCCCCTCATTCAGCACCATAAACAGCGCCCCCCCCTCATTCAGCACCACAAACAGCGCCCCCCCCCTCATTCAGCACCATAAACAGCGCCCCCCCCCCCTCATTCAGCACCACAAACAGCGCCCCCCCTCATTCAGCACCACAAACAGCGCCCCCCCCTCATTCAGCACCACAAACAGCGCCCCCCCCCCTCATTCAGCACCACAAACAGCGCCCCCCCCTCATTCAGCACCACAAACAGCGCCCCCCCCTCGTTCAGCGCCACAAACAGCGCCCCCCCCCCTCATTCAGCACCACAAACAGCGCTCCCCCCCCTCATTCAGCACCACAAACAGCGCCCCCCCCCTCATTCAGCACCACAAACAGCGCCCCCCCTCATTCAGCACCACAAACAGCGCCCCCCTCTCATTCAGCGCCACAGACAGCGCCCCCCTCTCATTCAGCACCACAAACAGCGCCCCCCCCTCATTCAGCACCACAAACAGCGCCCCCCCCTCATTCAGCACCACAAACAGCGCCCCCCCCTCATTCAGCACCACAAACAGCGCCCCCCCCCCTCATTCAGCACCACAAACAGCGCCCCCCTCTCATTCAGCACCACGGACAGCGCCCCCCCCTCATTCAGCACCACAAACAGCGCCCCCCTCTCATTCAGCACCACAGACAGCGCCCCCCCCCTCATTCAGCACCACAAACAGCGCCCCCCCCCCCTCATTCAGCACCACAAACAGCCCCCCCTCTCATTCAGCACCACAAACAGCGCCCCCCCTCATTCAGCACCACAAACAGCGCCCCCCTCTCATTCAGCATCCACAGACAGCGCCCCCCCCCCCTCATTCAGCACCACGGACAGCCCCCCCCCCCGCCCTCTCCCCATCATGCAGTCCTTGGGGAATAAGGAATCGAATCGTCACAATCTGATTCTAGGAATCGGTGTTTCTGTTCTGGTCTCGTGTGCAGACTCTCGTTCGCATTGTTTCTCCTTGCGTCATGTTACCCTTAGGCCGCAGAGAGGGCAGAGCAGAAACATCGACGACGCTGGCTCTCCATGCAGAGCCGTCTCGAGAGGAGTACAACGAATCGGGGCGACCGCCCCGGGCCCCCGCGCTTTGGGGGGGGGGGGGGGTGGCAACGCATTTTTACGTTACGGTGTCAGATGTAATACTTCCGGTTTAGTTTGAAGGCATCGGGAGGTCCGCACAGTGGGATTTGCCCCGTGCCCCCCCCCCCCCCACGTGTGTGCTCCCCACCTCCACCAACCCGCACCGACCAGCGTGGTGAAGTATGGTCAAATGACTCCCATCCGGCAGTGTAAAGACAAAGAGGGCAGCACACGTGGTGTGTGTCTCGTTTGAATAAATAAAGAAATATCTGAAGTCGCTCTCGAGCCAAAGCACAAATACTAACACATCCGTCAGCAACACGCACTGCTCTCAAGCGGATACGTTACATAATAGGCGACGTTTCGGGCAATGGACCTTCTTCAGAGCAGGGACACAGAGGTCAGAGATGTTTCTAAACGCGAAGGAAAAATGACAAATCGCGCCCCTTGACCCAAATCACGTTTCGCCGAGTCGCCGTTTACGAGAGATCGCAGTGGAAATCCGCGGCAGCCCTCGGAGAGAGATGGCGGTGGGGACGGAACTTCCGCGGATTTTGTTTTCAATATAAAAGGCTCGGAGGAGATTGTGGCCGGAATGAACGTGAAGAAGGTGCTGCCAGCCCATTCAACCGCGACAAATGCGCGCCCTGACACACACACACTTACATAATAGACGACACAGACAAAGATCCTCCCGTATAGCCTTCACAGATTGTCGGGGCAAGTGCTGTGAGCGAGTGAAAGTGGGCACGGCGCATGGGGGTGCGGTGGCCAGCACCACGCCCGGTCGCTTTTTTTCTCCCAGTGCGGACGCTTACACACCGCGCCAGGATACTTATTTAAGGCTGAGTGTATCTAGAAGAAACCCAGTACGGGTACAAGCACGCGCGCACACAAACACACAGGCACATAGACACTGACACGCAACAAACACACGAACACACGAACATACGAACACAAACACACGTACGCAAAGACACGCGGATACATAAACATACACACTCACACGCACATCCAGAAATACATACACGCATTGAGACACGCAACACACACGCACACGCACATCTCGGTACAAATATCCTCCGTATAGCCTTTCACAGACTGCCGAGGCAAGTACTGTGATGAAGGCCGACGCGGCACACGAGGGGCTGGGTGGCCAGCACCACGCCCTGCCGCCTTTGTCTCCCAAATGATGCTCTACACCCCGCCCCAACTACCACAGCTCCCCACCAACACCCACTCCAAAACCTCCACGCTCACACCCCCCTCAAGACCCCCAGGCTCACACCCTCATCAACAGGAGGTCACGGGACTGACCCAGGTGCCATGGGTTGACTGACTGAGATGACCGGCAGATGCACCCACTGTGCCAGCACAATTTGCACAACATGACCCACACACACTGCACCATCACACCCTAATACCCTTACCTCACAGCCTGACCAACACCCCAAGCCGCACACTGCCACAGCCGCACCCACACACCCTCACCCACACACCCTCACAAGAGACAAAGATTACCCCCGTACCCACACACACCTACAACCTCAACTGTGTCGTCACATGTCTCGCGCGTGACGACACAGTTGTTTTTGCCCCGACTGCTATTCGCTTCCTTGATATTCGTTGGCGACGACCCCTGTGGCTCGTGCGATTGGGTCTCCCCCATCACGAACTCGCCACGCAGAATCCCCTGGGACCACCCCGACAGCGCTGGGACGGGAGGCGGCCTGGGTACACCCCCCCCCCCCCAGGTGCTAGCGGCTTGGACTCCGAGGTGACCTCTAAACCGTGGCAGTTCAGTACGGAACATAAATCGATTCCTGAATCCATCTGTGCGGAGCTTTGAGCCTCATCCGTGGCCAACCACGTGGATGAGCAAGAAGGCGAGCAAATGCAAGGGGAGGGGAGGGGGGAGGGGGGAGGGGAGGAGGGAGGGGGAGAGGAGGAGGGAGGGGGGAGGGGAGGAGGGAGAGGAGGAGGGAGGGGTTGGGGAGGAGGGAGGGCTGGGGAGACCTCCCTTCTCTTCAATAATTTACAATCCGGCAATTACTGCGATTAGAAGCAAGTGCGACTCGCCGTCTCAACGTGGAAATTGCGGCATCACGTGGTGACAACGAGCAGATGATTACCACCATCACCATCATCACCACCATCATAATCACCATCATCACCACCATCATCACCACCATCACGGACATTCTGAGAGTCAACATCTTATTTGCTGCAACCTGCCCTCGTCATCATTTCGTCACAGGAGGGTATTTGCTGGTGTGAGGGATAAGCCTTTTCACGTCATCACAACCCACATAAAAAACATCATCATCATCATCACCACCAACAACACCATCATCAGGGGGGGGGTTGGTGGGGGTAGTGGGGGTAAGGGGGTAGGTGGGGGGTAGGGGGGTAGGGGGGTTGGTGGGGGTAGGGGGGTAGGGGGGTAGTGGGGTTGGTGGGGTTGGTGGGAGTAGAGGGGTTGGTGGGGGTAGGGGGGTAGTGGGGTTGGTGGAGGTAGTGGGGTTGGTGGGGGTAGGGGGATGGTGGGGTTGGTGGGGTTGGTGGAGGTAGTGGGGTTGGTGGGGGTAGTGGGGTAGGTGGGGTTGGTGGAGGTAGTGGGGTGGTGGGGTAGTGGGGTAGGGGGGGTAGTGGGGTTGGTGGGGGTAGTGGTGTTGGTGGGGATAGTGGGGTTGGTGGGGTTGGTGGGGTTGGTGGGGGTAGTGGGGTTGGTGGGGGGTAGTGGGGTAGGGGGGGTAGTGGGGTTGGTGGGGATAGTGGGGTTGGTGGTGGGGGTAGTGGGGGTAGGGGGGTAGTGGGGTTGGTGGGGGTAGTGGGGATAGTGGGGTTAGTGGGGTTGGTGGGAGTAGGGGGGTTGGTGGGGGTAGTGGGGGTAAGGGGGTAGGTGGGGGGTAGGGGGGTAGGGGGGTTGGTGGGGGTAGGGGGGTAGGGGGGTAGGGGGGTAGTGGGGTTGGTGGGGGTGGTGGGAGTAGGGGGGTAGGTGGGGGGTAAGGGGGGTAGTGGGGTTGGTGGGGGTAGTGGGGTAGGGGGGGTAGTGGGGTTGGTGGGGGTAGGGGGGTAGTGGGGTTGGTGGGGGTAGTGGGGTTGGTGGGGGTAGTGGGGTTGGTGGGGGTAGTGGGGTTGGTGGGGGTAGGTGGGGGGTAGGGGGGTAGTGGGGTTGGTGGGGGTAGTGGGGTAGGGGGGGATAGTGGGGTTGGTGGGGGTAGTGGGGTTGGTGGGGTTGTTGGGGGTAGTGGGGTTGGTGGGGGTAGTGGGGTTGGTGGGGGTAGTGGGGTAGGGGGGGTAGTGGGGTTGGTGGGGGAAGTGGGGTAGGGGGGGTAGTGGGGTTGTTGGGGGTAGTGGGGTTGGTGGGGGTAGTGGGGTTGGTGGGGGTAGTGGGGTTGGTGGGGGTAGTGGGGTTGGTGGGGGTAGTGGGGTTGGTGGGGTTGGTGGGGGTAGTGGGGTAGGGGGGGTAGTGGGGTTGGTGGGGGTAGTGGGGTTGGTGGGGGTAGTGGGGTTGGTGGGGGTAGTGGGGTTGGTGGGGGTAGTGGGGTTGGTAGGGGTAGGGGAGGTAGTGGGGTTGGTGGGGGTAGGGGGGGTAGTGGGGTTGGTGGGGGTTGGTGGGGGTAGTGGGGTTGACGCGACCGGTGGGGTTGGCGGGCCACGGCGGGACGGGCGCACGGGAAGGATATGGCCACTCGGTGATCCGCTTGGCGTACTTGCGGACCGCGTTGTCCTCGCTGAAGAGGAAGAGGGAGCGGTTGAGGGTGAGGAAGCTCTGGCGCACGGGGATGGGGTTGTAGATGGCCATGGTGCGCGCCCTCTGGGCCATCGACTGCTTGTAGATCTGGCGGCGGCCCCCGGGCGCTGCGCCTCCTGCGTGGGGCCCGCGGCCCCCCCGCCCAGAGCCCCCTCCCATCTCGTCCCCGTAGCGGCTCATGGTGGCCACGGTGGTGGTGGAGGTGGTGGTGGATGGGCCCGGTGGTAGGGGTGGCGGTGGTGGTGGTGGAGGTGGTGGTGGACGTGGCGGTGGAGGTGGTGGTGGTGGAGGTGGTGGTGGTGCAGGTGGCGGTGGTGGTGGAGGATGGGCCCGGTGGTGGAGGTAGCGGTGGTGGTGGAGGTGGTGGAGGTGGTGGTGGCGGTGGTGGAGGTGGTGGAGGTGGTGGTGGAGGTGGTGGAGGTGGTGGTAATGGATGGGGGTGAGATTCTGGTCGTGGTAGCGCCGGAACGCGCTAATCTGGTCTCCTCCGCGTTTCCCACTCACTCACCCTCCCACTCACCATCGCACTCACCCAGGCATCCTCCCACTCACCCTGTCACACACACCTCGACTCAGCCATCCACTCGATGCCTCACTCACCCTCACACTCACTCACCCTCACACTCACTCAACCTCACACTCACTCACCCTCACACTCACTCACCCTCACACTCACTCACCCTCACACTCACTCACCCTCACACTCACTCACCCTCACACTCACTCAACCTCTCACTCAACCTCATCCTCATATACTGCCTCACACACTCACCATTTCACTCACACGCTCACCACTCACACGCCTCACCCTCCCACGCACACCTCACCCTCCCACGCACACCTCGCCCTCCCACGCACGCCTCACCCTCCCACGCACGCCTCGCCCTCCCACGCACACCTCACCCTCCCACGCACGCCTCGCCCTCCCACGCACACCTCACCCTCCCACGCACACCTCACCCTCCCACGCACACCTCACCCTATGTAACCGTAACTGGAACACAGGAGCCACTCCAGGAGGGAGCGATTCTCGCTCTTGCGTAGAAGGAAGATTAATCCTGCAGAGAGTGAACTTGATCCTGCAGAGAGTGGACTTGATCCTGCAGAGAGTGAGGTTGATCTTGCAGTTAGTGGGCTTGATCTTGCAGGGAGTGAACTTGATTCTGCAGGGAGTGAGGTTGATCTTGCAGTTAGTGGGCTTGATCTTGCAGGGAGTAAACTTGATCCTGCAGGGAGTGAGGTTGATCTTGCAGTTAGTGGGCTTGATCTTGCAGGGAGTGAACTTGATCTTGCAGAGAGTGAACTTGATTCTGCAGGGAGTGAACTTGATCCTGCAGGGAGTGAACTTGATCCTGCAGTTAGTGGGCTTGATCTTGCAGGGAGTGAACTTGATCTTGCAGGGAGTGAACTTGATCCTGCAGGGAGTGAACTTGATCTTGCAGAGAGTGAACTTGGTCTTACAGGGAGTGAACTTGATCTTGCAGGGAGTGAACTTGATCTTGCAGGGAGTAAACTTGATCTTGCAGAGAGTGAACTTGATCTTGCAGGGAGTGAACTTGATCCTGCAGGGAGTAAACTTGATCTTGCAGGGAGTGAACTTGATCTTGCAGGGAGTGAACTTGATCTTGCAGGGAGTGAACTTGATCCTGCAGTTAGTGGGCTTGATCTTGCAGGGAGTGAACTTGATCTTGCAGGGAGTGAACTTGATCCTGCAGGGAGTGGGCTCGATCCTGCAGGGCAATGGCTGAGTCAGTCCCCCTCTCACGTTTCGGCGATCCCGGATAAATCCCGGGCGGGCTGCGCTTGGCGACGAGGAGACATCGCCGGGGCTCCACGGAGCTCCACGGAGCTCCGCCTGCCTCACTGTTCGCTCCAAGCCCGGGTGCCTCAGATGCCCGCTGGTCCGACTGGCCTACCGCCTGTCTGCCCGCCTGTCTGCCTGTCTGCCGGGCTCACAGCGTCCCGCTGGCTGGCTGGCTGGCTGCCTCTCTGCCTCTCTGTCTCTCTGCCTGCCCGGCTCTCCGGCTGCTCTCCGGCTGGCCTGGTGTCCAGCCCCAGGGCGGGTGGCTGCGACTGCGGAGCTGGGAGGAATTGCTGCTCCGCTCTCCTCCCTCTCTCTCTCCCCTCTCTCTCTGCTCTCTCTCTCTCTGACGAAGAAGGGGGGGGGGGGCTGTGCACGTGACCACACCCCGCACATCTACCCCGCCCCCCTCCCCCTTCTGCTCCCCCTCTAACCCCCACCCCCCGCACTCCGTACCAATAGGCTAGACCCCCCCCTCTCTCCCCCAATTTTGCCCCCCCCCCGCCTCCCGTCCCTTGATGCCGGAACGCGCGATGCGACGGGCACTGCGGGGGGAGGAGAGATGGGGGGTGGTGGTGGGGGGGGGGGATAATTAGAGGGATCAGGGAACGTGCGCGCCGGGGATGGGGTGGGAGCGGTGTGGGGGGTGGGGGCATCAATTAAGGAGGATGGTGGAGCGGGAGTCGGGTAGGGGGGGGATTAGCTAATTAGGGGGCTGGGTGGGTGGGCGGCTCGCGCGGTGTGGAGCGGTGTGGGGGGTCCGGGTGCGAGCGCTGGGCCACGTTGCATCCATCACGCGAGGTCTGAGAGCATGGGGAGGGAGGGAGGGAGGGGGAGGGAGGGGGGGTCGCGAACGCTGCTGGGATCGCCTGGTCGCCTGCTCCCCCCTGGCGGTGGCGCGTGGGATCAGAGCTGATCACCTCAGGATTGTCAAAGTGCACCTAGACTGGCACAAACGCCGTGCTGACGCCATCGGCCCATTGTTGTGGATGTCGTCTGGGCTGTGTGTCCCCTCGGTTGAATCGGCCTTGTTTGTCAATCAGCTACTCACCTCGACTCTATCAGCTACTCACCTCGACTATTCTCTATCAGCTACTCACCTCGGCCGTGTCATAAGCTATAGAGAATATAAATAACTTAAAAAATCCGACAATCCACCTCCGTCCCTTACCCGTCCCTCTACATACAAAATAGTCGTCACGATTCCACGTCCTTACCTGGGATGGACGATTTCAACAACTTTGGTTCAACACAGGCACACTCTGAACCCGTTCCGACATTCAGTGCAAGCCCAACTCCGCTGATGAGACGTTGAACGTAAAATTTGGTCCGGAGTTTTGCTTGTGTTGCACCAACGCTGCTGAAACTACACTACCAGGCGGAAGCATTGCGGCCGATGGGATGCCTAAAAGGAAAACTGTATTCTTATGTCACGTGCAGGGAGAGGTATGCAGAGGCGGCGGCGCCTTCTGTGCTTATCCAGTTTGTAAGTTGTGTCCAGCAAGCGCTCTAGCGACGTCACTGCCGTGGTGGACGAGGTAGGAGAGCAGTGAAGGCGCCTACGGGCCAGGGAATCCTTGGTCTTCGTGCTTCGTGTCGAGTTTTGTGTCAACAGATCTGGGCTAGTGGCCCAGAGACTGGACGCGTTCAGAATAGAGAGCTCTACATAAGGCGATCCCAGGATTCTCCAACAAGCGTACTATAAGCTCTCATATACTAAACCAGCAAGGTTTCACTGAAGGTTCAACATATATAATTGAGTGCTATGTAGAAAGAGAATCACGGGATGTTCAAGGAGGCTTCGGAAAAAGAAGAGGATCAAGAGACCAAATCACAAACATATCAGACGGGAGGATGGAAAGATCAACCGAATACTGACAACAGCTGAACCTCTGCTTCATTGACTCCAGCAAGGCGACATCAGCCGTCTCTGGTGCGGACCAATCAGTTTCAAAGACAATGCAGATATTAAGAGGATTGTTTTTGTTTGCATTCTGACCACCAGTATCGTGGTTAATGCAGACATGATTCCTTGTAAAACGTTTCATTTTGGTGTTTTAACATCTTAACACCTGTTTTGTTGCCAGAAAAAAGGGGAAAATCTCATACAGCAAAGCTTTTGTGTGGACCATGAAGGAGATGGGAATGCCAACTCCCCTCGTGTGTCTGTTACGTCATCTGTGCCAGCCAAAAAGCGAAGGTTAGAACAGAGTATAGATAATGGGGAGACAAGAATTTGACATTGGGAAAGGAGTAAGACACAGGGCTGTGTGCTGTCTCCTTACCTGTTGAACTTGTACAGGGAGCGTATTATGCGAGAGGCAGGCCTGGATTCTATCGAAGCAGGCGTGAAGATTGCAGGCAGAAGAATAAACAACTTACGAGATGCTGATACCACCCGACTAGCAAATAGCTAAGTTGAAATGATGACCCTGTTGGTAAATATTAAAAGAAGCGCGAGAGAAGGCCGGACTCTGCCTCAATCTCCAACAGACGAAGGTGATGGCGACAGAACTAAACTCATTTAGTCTGGAAAAACGAACCAACCGAAGTTGTGTAGAACTTTGTATTTCTGGGCGCCTTGGTTGCTGAAGGCGGGGAGTGGAGCCACGAGATGAGAAGACGGCTGGTTCTCGGTAGAACAGCCACGCCACAGCTCAATAAGATTTGGAGACAGGGGCATTACCATAAACACCAAGAGGCTTGTCAAAGCTCAGGTATTCCCTGTTGCCCTACATGGATGTGTCGTGGACGCCGAGATTGAGCGAGCGAAAGCGGGTTGGCGCATTCGAGATGTGGCGCTGGAGAAGAATGCTGCACCACGGACAGCCACAAAATCAAACACGTCCGTCCCGAGAGAGATCGGTCCCACTCTTCCACTCGAGGCCTTATTCGTGAAGCATACATCGACATACTTTGGGCACGTCACGAGGACCTCTTGACGAGAGGAATCGGTGTTTCTTGAGAATGGAGAAATTAGCAGGAGCAGAGGTCGACCTCCGAGGTGTATGGCCGACATCAAGAACACCGAGGCAGCGAGAGAGAGGCGATGTGGAAGTCGGAGTTTGGTCGTGGATGTCACCAGAGGTCGTACTCGACCTGATGGCACAAGGTGGCAAGGTGGTGGAGGAAGGACGAATGGTGTCCACGTCGAGGAGCCACTCCCAAGCTGGAGTGACGTGTGGGCTGTTGGGCTGCCGCGTGTCCGGGGATCGGCACCGCCTGTTCCGAGTGGCATCAGGAGTCGATTTGTATCGAGATCTGGTGCCGGGATCGCTGCGTTTAATTTCTTTGCAGTGGACTGCTGGCTGAGAAACATGTCCGGGTTGGTCTGAGGAAGAGGTGGCAGCCCCCCCACTCACTCACCCACTCGCTCAACCACTCAGCCACTATTTCATATGCCAAGTCACTCAGTAATCCACCCACTTACACACTTGCACCACCACTGTCACGGTGTGGTGGTTGTGGTTGGTGGCCAGAACCACACACCCACCACGTGTAGCCACTCCTTCCAATGCTTGCGATTTGCATTTCCGTCCCTGAGGCACATCATTGTCACGTGCAGGCCGGCGTAAAATGATCGGTGAGGGTTTTATTGACATTAAAACAATTGTGACATTATCCACATTTTACCATTAACCAACGCCTGCAGATCCAGATCATTCAAGCGGCAGATGTCTGTGCAACAGCACGCGCCTGCCATGTCATCGTCGAATGCATACGCACATAAAAAAACTATTTAACGTGGCTCGCTCGCTCGCCCGCGTGCTGGTCCACGCAGACAGGGTAGCTAGCAGCGGAGTGGGTCTGGCTCTGGGCTGAGTCCTGAATCTTACCAATACCACCATCTTAACACGCACTAACCTCCTGCAATAAAATCACGAACGGTTGCACAAACCACAGCGCGCAATCGTATCAATCGCCTGCAACCGCTGTGTCCAAATCCGGGCGAGTAGGTGCGCGACAAAATGAAACGGCGTGTCATTCGGGATTGTAACAACCAATCACAGTTTGCGAAAGCGTCACATGGTGATGAAATACTTCGTTACACATCGCCGTGCGGATCACAACCGGTTGCGCTGCTGTTCGCAACCGGTTGCAGAGCCGGCCACATACGAGAATTTCAGTTGCTTGCAACCAAGTTGTGAAACTGAGAGAAGTGTGTTTCAGTGTTGCACGACGTTAGGAACACAAGCAGGGTTGGGTGTGATGGTGGGGACCGAGTCTCCCCTACTGATCGCACAGTACCCCCCTAAATTCTTAGTCAAGTAAAAATGCTGGTAAAATATTTCATCCCCATAGACACAGGAGATGCCACCTAAAGTAGAACTCACGACAGACGAAATCAGACCGCTTCATTACTCATTTTGCACCCCCCCCCCCCCCCCCCCCCATCTTTATACCAGGTCCTATCAGCCAAAGCGCAGGAATGTGTGGACGCATGGACAACTGAGAGCCGTCACCGCGCCTGCGACGAAGGCCGGATTTCAAAACGTCTGGGAAACGCAACATTTGGGTTGCAGCGTGCGGTACGAGAGCCAAGGTGAGCGGAGCGTGCAGCAGGGAAACACGGCTCTGGATGCAAGCGCAGGGGGGTGTGAGCGCACAGCAAAATCATGAACTCTGCGCACACCTCGACACACAAGACACGAGGCGTGGCTGGCTAGTACCGCGCCCGGCTGTCTGTCTCCCCCAGTGGCGATGTTTACACACTGTACCAGGTAACAATTTGAGGCCGAGTCGACCTACGGGAGGCCCAGGACCGGTTCAGGTATCCGTCACTTGTGTTGGCCATGAGCGGGAATCAAATTGGGGTTGCTGGGTTTGCCGTGCAGCGCGCTAACCACTACACTACCGTAAACACGCACACACTTCAGTGCAAGCGTATCTTACTCGTATTCTACACAAATATAAAAACCATCATGCCCCTTCTTGCATTTAACAGACCGGGTGGACAAGTATTGTTTGCGAGAATATATTAAGGCCGGCACAGAGCAAAATGGGATGGTGTGCCCCTGTCCATGAATTGGCCACCCTTTTGTCTGCAGTACTAACATTTTACAAATTTTGCCAGGTGCTTATTTAAAGATAAATCGACCTAGGGGACGCCCAGGATCAGTTTAGAGATCACTCAACACCCATGTTGGCCGTGGCCCGAAATCAAATGGCTGCCGGGGTCGCAGCGCGCTAATGATTGCACCACCACTCATTACACACACGGTCTTAAGACAGCCTGACACGTACACAGAGCTCCCCCCCCCATTATAACATTACGCCACAGTTGCTCACACTCGGACATACATGCTCTGTTATCACGTATGAACGCTCCCAGTTACAAACGCACAAAGACAACGATATCCCGTGTCGCCTTAACAGTGTAGGAGCAAGTGCTGTCAAGTGAGCAGGGTACGAAGGCCGGTACAGCAGACAAGGGGGTGGGTGGCCAGCACTACGCCCAGCCGGCCTTCGCCTCCCTAGTGCAGATGTTTATACACCACACCAGGTACTCATTTGAGGCCGAGTAGACCTAGGGGAGGCTTAGAATCGGTTCAGATAATCTTCACTGATGGCCGGGAGTGGGAATCGCAAGGTTTGTAGTGGAGCGTCTTAACCCACTGCACTACCGCTCCACACAGTCGGTCGCAAACATACGATGACACGCACACAGTATTCGCTCTCAAGTCTCACACACGCACACACACACGAGGATGAGGAGGGGCTGGGGTCAGGGCTGTGCCCTTAGCCCTGCGCCTCACTCAACCTTTCCGGAAATGAATCCAGGAGAGAAGAATCCGAGCCGAGGCAGAATCCGACTCCAGTCTCGCGTTGGATCAAGTGGCGCAGTAATGCAACGCGAAAAAGCTCGCATCGATCCTACCGCCAAAACACATCGCTAACCCGAGCCGCAGTGCCCGAGCCCCAACCAAACCTCACCGACACCACGGGGAGACAAAAACACGTCACCATCTTCTTCGTCGCAATAAAATGGTGCCATTCGTCATCGACGCCCGCTGCGTAAAAAGGGGGGGGGGGGGTGTCCACATCAACACAGGGAGCATTCGCTGCTCCCTGCGTCATCCATCAGGCTAGAGGAGGTACTCCACTGGTGTCGCCAAAATCCTACAAACATTAAATAGATTCAAAATATATTTAATCCGGACCCATCATGCGGGCACGCCAGAGGGGAGTGTGATTGTGGGGGGGCGGAGGGGGGGGGCCATCTCCTGGAATGGTCGGCGCAGTCGCCGGAGGGGTTCAGCGGAACCCACCGGGGGATTCTAACGTGGCGCTCCAGGGGACGAATACTGCTCGACGAGCCATGAGCGGTTCCGATGCGTAAAACCGCTCTGCGTGCGTTGCGGCTTTCATTGCGAGCGCAAGCGACCGGTTTGACACGAGGACTCGGGGGGAGGGGCACGAAGGAGGGGGGGGATAGAGCCCCCAGTGACTCCCATCCGTCACCTCCTCACCAATGAATCCCAGCCAATCGCATCATTCGGTTCGCTCACGAACAACGCAGCACAAGGGACCGTAGCACCGAGCGGGCGCAGCGGGGCGTCACTGACCTGACACACAGCTCACGGCGAAAGCCGTCCGGTCCAACCTAACACTATCCACACGTTAGTGCACTCCTACGGGGAAGGGGGGGGGGTCAGGCCTCAAATAGAGCTAAACCCTCGCATGAGTGAGGGAGATGCTTTCTGGAGGGCACAGCAATGGAACCGGCTTCCGGCGTGGAGTTGATCCAGCCCGACTGGCCACTCCACCTGCTCCACGCGGACCTTGTATGAGGGGCCCCGGGGCCATGCGTGTCAATTCCCGGGGCAAGAGCTCTTTGGAACGCAGAGTGGCGTTCAAGACCCACGGACAACGGTGAGCTTTAACCGTAGCTGGAGTTCCCAGGACATCTCCTGTGGGTGCGGGATTCAACTCGGAGCACATGCAGCAGGCAGCGAGCCAGCGCCAAAGTCCGCGTCCAGCACCGCCACCGCCACCACCAACGCCACTACCACCACCACCAACATGATGACGACGACTCGCTGGCCCTGCGCTACACGCGTGACACAGAGCAGAGCACGCAACGACGAGTAGTCTGGGCTAGACGCAGGGTTTTGACGATGACGCGGGGAGGAGAGGGGGCGTCCACCTCGGTGCCCACCCTGCCGGCTCGACGGCCGGGCGGCCCTCAGTGCAGGGGCGGTGGCGGCGGTGGCGGCGGCGGCGGTGGTGGCGGCGGCGGAGGCGGCACGATGGCGGTGGGGTGAGTGTCGTCGCGAGGGGAGGCCACGGCACGCGGTGGCGGCGGGGACAGCACGGCCGCCGCCGCCGCCGCCGGGTGGGCGTTGTGGCCGGGGCTGGCCGCGGAGGTGGCGGGCGGCTGGCGCTGTGGCGGGTTGCTGTGCGTGCTGTGCGACCCGTAGGAATTCACGGGCGACCCCGTGCGTGCGTACGTGTGCACGTTGTTGAGCGCGCTCGCAAAATGTTCACTCTGCGGCCCGAAGACGGGAGGCGACGGAGTGGCTGCGACGCGGTTGGGGGCGGCGGGGATTGGCGGTGGCGGCGGTGGGGCCGGTGGGGTGCCACCGCCGCTGCCATCCAGGAGACCCGGCAGGCCGGATGCCTCGGCCTGAGCGTGGCGGCGAGCGATCATCTCGGCGGAGTGCTTGCATTTCTCCGAGCCGCACTGGCACGTGAAGTAGCGGCTTTTGATGTCCCAGAACCGTTCGCCATAGTCAAACCTACAGAAACAAAGACCGTATAGCCTTAAGACTGTTGGGCAAGTGCTTTTATGCGAGTACCACCTGTGAAGGCCGGCACAGCACACGAGGGGAGGGTGGCCAGCACCACGCTGGGCTGTTTGTTATTTTGCACATATTATTTTCACAGTACAAAGATCGCCGGGATTGGGTCACATTCCCATAACGCAATTACACTTCACCGAGTATCGTCCATTACAGTGGTGCGGGTTTCCGCTAGCATGGGATGTTAGCGCAGCGGGACGTTACGCTCGTGTGGCGCATCTGCGCGCCGGTGTGGTGAGTGCGGCGAGCGTGGTGAGCGTGGTAAGCGCGGCGAGCGTGGTGAGCGTGGTGAGCGTGGCGGGTGTGGTGAGCGCGGTGAGCGTGTGGTGAGTGCGGTGAGCGCGTGGTGTCCTCACCCGAGCTCCTCTCCGGCCAGCACGTGGCGGCTGCTGAAGAAGGCGATGCGAGGGAATCGAAGGTCCTGGTGCGACATGAAGACGCGCACTGGCACCAGGTTGGGCTCGCATAGGTGGTTGATGAAGCGGCTCACGTTCCCGTAGTACCGCGCGTCGATGCAGTACACCTCTCCGTCCTGCTCGCACACGTGCACACGGGGTGAAGTACGCACATCCACGCACCGAGGCCGTGATGCACCCGAGAGATGCACTTGGAGGTGGTGGCTACGCTGCTGCACGGCACTGCCTGTAATCCAGCACCCAGGAGGCAGCAGTGGATCGCGGCGCAAGTGTTGTGAAAGTCGTGCGAGCATCGAGGTGTCAGACCCTGCCTTGCCAGAATTGCTGTACAGCAAGCGTGCACTAATCTCTATCCGTTCCATCTGCATGGAATACAGCGTGGCCCCCTTGCACGTGTGAGTTTTCTGAGTGAACGCCAGGTTTCCTCCCGCATGTATAAACCCTCGTTGGCGAAAAGCAAGTCTAAAGATGTATCAAAGTGCTCTGCAATATTGCGCAGCGTTGCAAGGTGCAGTTTGCATGAACGACACTACAATATGAAAACACTGATCATTATCGTTATTACTTAGGACAATCGTGACTGGCAATGGCCATAACTTCCTCCTCCGCGCGTTGCCTCTTTCTCTGCAGTGCGTCTCACGAACGAACGAGGACTGCCCTTGGATGCGCAAAGATTCCGTTTCCCAAATCTGGACAAAATCGAATAGCAGTTTCCCCTTTTCAACCGCTGGGAAGGCAACTTCCATCAATCAGATTGCAGACAGAGGTCACGTGACCACCCGTGGTTGTGGGCTGTGTAGGCCAATCACCGTTCATCAAACACAACCTTTCAAACAAGCCCTGCTGCTCTCCTCCCACACGAAAGACAGAATTTAATACATTGGACGAGCATCCCAATGGATCAGCAGCCTCCCGACAACGAGTCTTGGGACTGGTTGAGGCTATTCCCGAGTAAATAAATAACACTGCCATTCTTAATGAGAAATTTGCACGTGGCCCGAACTTGGGCTTCCATTAGGTCGGCTCTGACTTAAACGAGTATCTGGTACGGTCGAGATTCGGTGGAGCTTTTCACAGTAAACGATCAAATCATTTGCGAATTATGATATCACTCGAGATAGTAATCACGGTGCTCTTTGCACAATGACCCTCCAGCTCTCAGAGAGACGAGAGGTTTTATCACACCGTGTGTGGCTTTTAAAACGCCAACACAAGGCTTAACGGCCAGCGCCGTGAGCGGACCAAAGGGCGGAGGCTTGCCACAATTGCTCGTGCCCCGCTCTCCAATTTCATCACCATTACGACTCCTGGACAGCGACGGATAATTCGCTATCGCCGCACATGATCCGATGCCGGAACAGACGGATGGACGGACCGAGGGATAAGAGGTTTTTAATCGCAGGGTGCGATTCATCGATACTCAGCCCACTGTGGCACAACATGTTACACTGCGATTGCATCAGAGCGGGTGTATTCGGCACTCCTTAGCAGATTACCATACTGGAACAAAGCCGGTCAGTGCGGGGTGGTCAAGGTGGGGAAAGTGGAAGACTCGCAATGGTTAAATATCAGGTGAGGGGAGAGGTGGTGCATGCGGAGGAGGTGGTGCATGAGGAGGTGGTGCATGCGGAGGAGGTGGTGCATGAGGAGGAGGTGGTGCATGCGGAGGAGGTGGTCATGCGGAGGAGGTGGTGCATGAGGAGGAGGTGGTGCATGAGGAGGAGGTGGTGCATGAGGAGGAGAGGATGGAGGAGGAAGAGGCGCGATTGTCCACCACACACCTTATTGTCAAGATCAAACAGGTACGAGTCATCCTCGCGAACATCCGCCTCGGCATCCGAGATTATCTCGCCCACGTACCTGCACACGCCACGCATACGCCACGCACACGCCACGCACACGCCACGCACACGCCACGCACACACCACGTGAGCTGGCCATGTCCCCCCGTGTCACCTCGCCTTTACCAGGGTAAGTCCTAAATAGCAGCAGAACTTTATATTCAAGTTGGGTTCATATGGGATCACCTTTACGATAGTTACCAAGACTCGCCCAGTCCCGCCAGGCGCACGGACAGAGCGACAATTCATAAACACTCTCGACGTGAGTGGGAAAGCGTTATGAACATGACGCAAACAGGCTGAGTTTCATCTTCCCCTTGCGGGGGAACGGTGATGACCTCCGACAGGAGGAAGAAAACCGAGCAAAGGCCGCAGAGAACAGACCGAGCACAGTGACTAACGAGCGGGGGGGGGGCGTCGGAGCGGGACGGTCACTCACTCGCAGATGAAGGTGCCGGGCAGGATGTCCTGCAGAGCACGCACGCCCCAGCCCATCTTGGCAGTGCGGTACAGCTGCATGCGCACCCTGCATGCCGGTGGTGGTGGTGATGGATGGAGTGTGTGGGTGCAAACACGATACCCAGAGTAAAAACCACACTGACGACGAAACAAGGCGATACGAGATCTACAGCTAGCTGCTTTCACGCTACCCGCTGTGTATTTTGATTCACTCTTCAATGCTGTCTGAATGGCTGTTCCTGAGTGTTAATCTGCTGCTGCTGTGGTGGGGTCTCCTTTTCAAATAGTTTTGCAGTTATATCTTAGATTTTCAACGTTTCATTTTTCTCTATCCTCCCTTTAACCCTCTTCTCCCCACCGAGGTCACCCTTGACAAAGAGCTGTCTAGTTGCCAATGGGCCCTGCCCCAGGTGACCAGAAATAAATCAACTGCAGACAGACATCCAGTGCGCCGGGCGCTGTTTGGTCGCGCGTGCCACAGGTAAACGCCAGAGCGCTGCACGCACCTGATCCCGTGCTGCACCACCCGGTTCTTGCAGCTCCTCCAGCAGCTGCACGAGTGGTTGCACTCGAAGATGAGTGGCGGCTCAATCTTGTTGAACTCGGGCAGCAGCCTCCCATCCTGCCCCACGCACAGCAACGAGGCATCGGGGCTCATCTCCCGTTCACAGCCCTGAGCCGGTCGTGGAAATTCTACGTTCCTATGACGAGGGCGAATATGTTCATAGGATGACCACTGTCGACTTCTTCACAAAGTGGTAGTTATTTAATAGACTCTGAAGGGATGATGAGCCGAGTCAACCCCACAACCGGGATTTGAACTCGCAACCTTCCAATTGCAAGCCACTCGCTCTACCGCTAAGCACTCACAGCCCTGTGGCGATGAACGGCGTCCCCAAGCCGTGTTGGTCATGGTGGTTGTTTGACCATACTACACCACGCTTATCTGTGCGGGTTGGTGAAGTGCTGGATGGCCCAGGACTGTTTCAGTTATCACTCGCCACCGATGTTAGCCGTGGTTGGAAATCTAACTTGCATATACATATCAATTTTAATCAATGAGTCAATTAAATGCGTCATGCCTACTTGACATAAAAACAACAGTCCGAATGCAGCAATCGTAAGCTCATTGATAAACACTGGCAGACAGGTAGATAGCTTGTAGGTGCACAGGTGGACAAGTAGACAATGGACATGTAAACAGGTGTACGGATACACAAGTCGACAGGCAAGTTATTAGGTTGAGATGTAGACAATTACACAGGTCGGACAAAGGGACAGGTAGACAGAGGGACATCTGAACAGGTCCCAGGTGGAGTGAGGACCTCAAGCATGGCGTGCACCTGTGCGCTGTCCGCAGCACGTACCTTGTCGTACCAGCAGCGAATGCTGAGCTGCCCACACAGGCAGTTGCTGGACGAGCAATCGTCCCCACAGCTGCAGTGCTGCAATCAGAGGGGTCAAAAGGTCAGACGGTGAGAGGCAGGGTATGAAGGGGGGCGGCACAAAAATGGACGCCCATTGCATCGGAGAGGAAGAGTTGAAATCAGATTCCTGAACTAGTAAGACAGAGCACGGTTTGCAGTGCTCACCACCTGCCAGGCCAGGTCGCCCTCAAGCAGGTAACATCCACGTCAGCACTTCATGTTTCACTCAAATTACTTCTGGGATGCTGGATAGACCGGAGAAGGTGGCACGTGACTACTAGTCACAGCCAAAGCGAGAAGTATGCTGTATGCGGTGTGCCGAACATGGAAAAATTTCCGGGCTACCAAAAGATCTCGTCAACTTGACAAAGGACAAATCTAGCAGACTTTCTAGGACGGGCACAGCACGGTGCAGATTCATTGAGCTTTGGGTGGTGGAGGGTGACAGGACTTGGCCAGATCATTGCATGGCCTAACCCAAAAGTCAATATTGAATCTTAATATTGGCTGCAAAACCTACGCGTTGACTTCACAAACGAGTAATATTCTTTACAACCAGCAACACCTCGGGACTTAAGGTTTCATTTGTCAAATTTCCACTTTAAGGAGTTAAATATGCTGATCGTTCAACTGAATAGACCCGGCTGAAATTAATCCCTGCTCCAGGTGTGCCCAGGGGTTGCCCAGATGTGTCCAGGTGTGCCGGCGGGCGACCCACGGTCTGTACCTGCAGGTGCGTGATGTTGCAGTCGATGTTCATAGGAGACGTCTCGCAGCTCTTGGCCAGGTATTTGTAGTCGGCGGGCGGCGGCTCCTCATCGACGCCATTCACGCACGGGATCGGCACGTTTTCGTAGCCACGCGCGATGTCCCTGGGGCGTGCGCAACCACAACCGCATGTGACGTGCGAGTACGAGATACACGCATAACCACGCACAGCAACCTCGTAACCACAAACATCGATTCATACATAATCGCTCAACCAGACACGACATAAGCACCGCTGTAGTGCAGTTAAACCGTTTCCTCTAGGCAGTACGTCCCAGGGTGAGCGGGCTAGGGGTGTGCGGGTGAGGGATGAGGTGCTACCGGGTGAGGATGCGCTCGGTGCGAGCGGGCCGGCAGGCCACGATCTCACGCAGTTTGCGGTTCATCTGCAGCGCCAGCCACACCGTCGAGTCGACGGAGGCGCACTCCATGGGCGTCTCGCCCTCCTTGTTGCGCACGTCCACGTTGGCGCCCCGCGCCAGCAGCAGCCTGCACACAGTAAACAAAGATCCCCCGCGTAGCCTGACACAAGTGCTGTAGGCGAGTATAGGCGAGTAGCACCTAACGAAGAGTGGAACGACACACGAACGAGCGGTTGGCTAGCACCACGCTGGCTAACACCACGCCCGGTTGCCACTTTGCTCCCCACGCACTCGTAGTGACATACACTTGCATTGACGATGCGTTGAACACTCACACGACACACTCGTAGTGGTTCTCGCGCGAGGCAATGTGTAGCGGCGTGTCGCCGTGCAGGTTGGCCGCGTGCAGGTCGCACTGCGCATTGATGAACTCTTCGGCGATGTCCACGCTGCCGGCAAACGCCGCCCAGTGCAGGCAAATGTTCTCCTCCTGCGCACACACCGCATGGCACAGGTTGTAGCAAATGTGTCGTTAAGACCTTCCACCACCCGGTATGGCTGAACAAACCGAGCTATGGCGTGGACAGGTGTTTAACGACGCGTCAATTATTAAATTCGCAACGTTTCGCTTCAAACTGCGAAAAGCATCTTCAGGACAGGACAAGATCCAGGAAGTCAGAATTACCGTGGCACCTTAAATAGGGGTCATGACCTCACAGGATTTAAACATTAACCAATGATTACAATTATTATTTGATTATTCTTTATAACTATTCATGAATAAAAGAGCCTGTAGCAGGATTGCATCACTATGTTAACAAATCTAGAAAGAAACCGACATGCTAATCTGAAAGATTACCACGACATTAGGTGACAACACAACGGACAACTGTGGGCCTAACAACACGTGAAACCTCCGAGTTTCGACGCATGGTGGGGGCCGCCGCACAGTGGGCGACCAGACACGGATGGGAGATGAGGCAAGGGGTGGGGGTGAGCAGACGGGCTGATGAGCAGACACCCAGTGAGGGGACAGATTGGTGAGGAGGGTGGTCAGACAGGCTGATGGGGAGGCTGAACAAACATGAAGCGAGTAGACAAAGAGTAAATCGGCGGGGATATTGGACAGTTTGGTTAGCGGCGGGGCCGGCGAGGATGGCGGTGGACCCACGTTGTCCCTCAGCGTCACGTCAGCGCCACGGGACAGCAGCAGCCTCACGACGTCCACGTGCTTGTACTCGGCCGTCCAGATGATCGGCGTCCAGCCGCCGTCGTCCTGGCAGTTGATATTGACTTTGCCGGTGGACACCAGGTACTGCACCACCTCTAGGTTGCCCTTCTTGGCGGCCAGGTGCAGGCAGGTGGCCCCCTCGTCGTCCTGAGAGAGAGCGCCAGCAACGGCGGCGTGAAACAGCGCGACCCAGAAAGTGTGGGACCACCGCACGCGAGAATCACGTGGGCTTGAGTGGGAAGCGCACACACCCCGGCCGCCGAGTGATCTCGACCGCTCCCCTCTCTGGCTAGTCCCATCTCTAAACCGGCACTGGGGGAACCTTTTTGTTACCGAGAGTCGAATAGGACTTTCAAATATCTTACGTGGAAAATCAGAGGTAAACACACACACATTAGTGTTATCCAATAAGAATATGAAAAAATTAGGGGCTCGCGTTTATCATCGCAACAAAAGTGATTGAGCAGATTAAATACAAAGTATTGTAAAACATTATGGAGGTTGAAAATATTACCCAAGAGTAACCAATTAGTGCAGCTAAGATGCTTGGAGTGATTCCAAGCAGCAGGCCTGATGTAGCCAACGTGATAAATCGGTAACCGTCACACGGCTCTTCCATGTCAAATGCCTGGCAAAACCAATACCATCACCGAGGTGGGCCAGAAGATGGTAAATGGTCTTTCGGTCGGAAGAGCAACCAAAGACGTGGCCCTGACACTTTGTGAAAACCAAGCAGGTGCCACACTGTGCCACACTGTGCCACACTGTGCCACACTGTGCCACACTGTGCCACACTGTGCCACACTGTGCCACACTGTGCCACACTGTGCCACAAAGTTTACGCCCCTGAACCGAGACAGGCGCTGGTGCACTGCCGTTCAATCCCCACCTTGTGAGCCACGTAGGCCCCAGCCTTGACCAGGTAGCGCGTCGACGCCAGCTGGTTCGACTCGGCCGCCTGCAGCAGCGGAGTCTTCTGGTCCTGGTCGCACGCGTCTATGTTGCCGCCCGCCTGCGATTACAAACAAGTGACAACAGATCACGGCCCGCACGTGGATTGTGTGAAGGATTCCAACACACGTTCGTCCTCGATTGGTAGCTGTCAGGGCAAAGGTAATTGCATCTTTTTTTTGCATGTTCACCACAAGTGCGTGTAGTTATTGCAGACAGGATTCCTTGAAAAAGGATTCTGTTTGGTGTTTTAACATCTTAACACATGTTTTTATTGCCAGAAAGGGTACAACCTATTGTTATATTTATAGACAGCAGTAGTGACCCCCACGGTACGAACAACCATAGCTACCGCACAAATGCTTCCAATCTTGCTTGCAAAGTATTCAGAAAAACAAAAACACGGCACCAGTTTAGGTGGGAAGGTGCCACCTCCCCCCCTACTACATATACCAGACGTTACTGGAACGGACTTCAAAATATGGTCTACGATATCCGCTGTTTTACAACGCACTAAGGGTCCCCTCTGCTCTGTGAGAGTTCCAAAGTGGGATTCTTCGTCTCATGACACAACACCGATAACGTAATCGGGAAAAGCTCCTGCAAGTGTGAGTGTGCGTGTGTGCAGCTGGTGCGGGCGAGCGTGCGAAGGCCACCTGCACGAGGGTGTGGAGGACCTCCACGTGGCCCCTCTCGGCCGCCCCGTGCATCGGAGTTCTCTTCCTCTGCCCTTCGATGGCCACATTGGGGTCCAGTCCCTCCACTGCACGCACACACACGCGCACGCGCGACACGCACGCATTTGCGCACAAAGATCCCTCAATTGGCCTTTACAAGACTGTTGGGGCAAGTGCTGCCAACGAGCAGGTATGATGATCGGCAAGGCGCACGAGGTGGATGGTGCATGAACAGAACCGCGCCGACCTTCGTCTTGCCAGCACTGATATTTGCCTACAGGCAGCGGGCGCTCACGCGAGGCCATGTCGCAATTAACTACAGAAACAACGGTAGTGAATCACAATCTTCTAGTTGGTTGATCAATCGACTCGCATCGACTGCTCGTACCAGTTGTTAACCGGCACTGCTATTGACAAAGCCGCCCGCCCGCCCGTCGCATCGTACCCAACATCAGCAGCACCTTCTGCAGCTCCCCCAGCCGTGACGCCAGATACAACTGCTTGGGGTTGAAGCGAAGTTTCTTGGGTCTGCAGGCCGTGGGGGAGACGCAAGGAGGTTAAAACCGGGGCTCGGCACAGAATTTCACATTTACAACGATAAACAATACAATCTCTCATCCACACACCAGACAGTCAACGGGAACGTGTCTACTGTCAGTTTGACTTTCATAAGGAGAACAGCTTCTAGACGTCTCCATTACGTTTGACCTGTTGACCCAACAATGAGGCTCATCAGTGCTGCTTAACCACTCCACCATTTTGAAAAGCCCGGCTGGTGCTGCATACAACCCACAGGTGTGGTGTGCTGTTGGGGAGGAGATCTGTGGAGGCTTGCAGGGAAATGTTGAAATTCAACTCATTTGAGATGCAATGACTACCCGCAACCCTACTCACAAATTATCTAATTGGGTGAAACTGTATAGCAACAGTGGCCCCTTGTGAAAACTACAAACGACTATAACGGGGTGAATCCCTATCATTGGGGCATGAGTCACTCTCTCCCCTTCCTCTCGGTCTCTGCGAAGCCTCCTCACTCTGGCAAGCACGACACCGTGCTCACTACCAGAGGGAGAAGGAGGGAGACGTAGGAGTAGGGGTGGGAGGAGACTGCGGGGGAAGAGAGATGCAGCAGGAGGAAAAGGGAGGAGGTAAGAGGGAGGAGATGGAGTTGGGCGGAGGTAGGGGGAGGTGGCACCTTTCCGTGTGCAGCGTGATGAGCGCCTGCTCCAGGAGCTCCTTGCTGCCGGCCGAGGGCAGCCCCGTCGCCGAGATCACCGCTCCGCTCTTGAGGGTCGTCGCAGGGCCGGCGACCTCCCCCTCGCTCAGCGGCGCCTCCCCCTCGCTCCCAGACGGAGCCGAAGCCGGCGCCGCACTCGCCGAAATCACGGCTGCGGCCGGTGGCGCCGCCTGGGCACGGCTCGGCTCGGGTGCCGGACGCATACGCGCGCTGCCGGCACAGAAATTGACGCACGCGAGATTCAAGCACAGAAACTCGGTGGAGTCCTCTGTGAACGTTGCCGATGGGAAAATGCGGAAGCTCAGAGCTGGGCAGGTGTATACACACTTGACAGCATCCAATAACTGCATAACCGGGCCCTATCATAGACAATCGCGTTCCACCACACACAACCAAATCTCAGTACACTTCACCACACACCTCCATGTTCCACCACGCTCCACAATGCACCCACACGGGACCATCCCACTCTGCACACAACCACACCCCACCACACACAACAGCTGTGGCTACTTATCACATGTCCCACTGCACACGATTACGTAGCACCACCACGACCACACCACCGCTCTCGCTGCACCTGGTGCCGCCGGGGCGCATGTGCAGGCTGTCGAAGGCCCGCACGGACTGCGCTGCCGAGCCAGTAATGGTGGCGGCAGCGGCAGCGGCGTCGGCGGCGGAGACAGTGACCTCCCGCGCCGACGAGGCCTCCTCCCCGCAGTGCGGGCAGTAGAGTGAGCCGTTGAGGCGCGACACGCAGCGCACGTGGAACCGGTGAGAGATGCCTACGTCCGGCTGGCACTCCAGGAACGTGCCCTGGGGCAACACGAACGCAGGAGAAAAAAATTAATACAAACGAGAATAATCACGCGTACGCAACACGGACCCTGCAACGCATACCAACATGTGCTTGTCCTCGCAAGATAACGTCACACCATAGCTACGTCGTGGAGAAAAAATGCCCACGCCATGTGACATCATCACCTTAGCTTAAAAGGCTTGTGTTAGTGTTGGTTTTATTATTAAGCATGAGTTTGCCACCAAGTGTTGCGTAACACTTTGATCAATTTGGCCAGTCCCAAACAGCAACGCAACTTTGCACAAAAAATGTGATTCTCATCGGATTACCTTTGGGAGAGTTAATTTCCCGCATTTCGTTACCGACAGGCGGACGGACAGAGAGAGGGAGCGAAGGCATCAATGCTTTCAGACCGAGTGTGCAAGCGTTAAAGGACAATGATCCTCCTCCACGTGTAGCCTCTACTAAATTGTTGGGGAGGGGCTTCCTGCCTTTAAAAATGGCAGCTACTGATTTGAAAGGTGCCCAAGTAATCAACCGAGACCAGCGCTGGTCTTGTGAAGGCGTGGTATGGTTATGTTGCACCCCCGCGCAGTGCATCACGAGCGTCACGCATGCACCCTACCGTGGAGCAGAAGAAGCCGCACCCCGGGCAGCAGTGGTGCGTCATCATCTTGGCGCGGTGCTCCTCGCACACCACCATGAGCTGCACACGGCTCGATGGCCGCATCGTCTCCTGCTTGGCCACCGAGCGAAGGCACCGCGTCAACTGCTCGCGTCACCACGGAGACAGGACGGAATCACCACGGAAACCACCCGTGTCACCACAGAGACCAAACAATGTCACCAGGAAACCACCCGTGTCACCACGGAAACCAGCCAGTCACCATATAAACCTCTGGTGTAACAACAGGTCTCACCACAGTAACCGGCTGGTGCGACCACAGAAACCACTGGGGTCACCACAGAAGCTGGCCGGGCATCATGGAAAGCACCGACGTCAACACAGAAACCACTAGCATCAGTGCACACATACGTACTGAGAAATAAAACATTTAATAAAGAGAAAGTGACCACATCTCCGCATCAGGACCTTGCTTAAAACTATTGTTGCGCCTTTCCCAGATAAATAACAGCTAATACCAATCTTACTATAATTTTAATAACGATAGGTTGGGCACACACGCACGCACACACACCTGCCCATTGGTGCTCTCCGTGGCCATGCACTTGCCACTGGACAGCTTGCTGATCTCGCGGTTCTTGGGTGCCTCCATGCGGCAGCTGCACAGGGGCAGCTCCTGCAGCCCCTCCTCCATGTCCGAGCTGCGCCTCGACTCTGCGTGACGAGCGGACGAGAGGGAGGGATGAGCGAGGGAAAGGGGGAGGGAGCCCAGGGGAAACCTTTTTTCCCCACTCCACAGTCCCGCTGCAGCATCAGGGCCATGCGAAGCCAGTCCCGGTATGACTCAGGAGGCTCCAGACTTTTGTTTCCACTGTGGTACTAGAGCCGTGTGCCCACTGATGTCACAAGCAATGATGGGGTCGATGTGGCTGTGCACCCACACTGCTCATCTTTCTCAAGTGTACGGACTGCCGAAACGTACGATGAAAGCTGTTAACCCCGCACCTCCTGGCCCTGCATGGCTCCAAGCCAAATTCAGACTGTCTTGTGAGTCCAGTACGTCAAGGTTAGGTTTCCGGCTGGGCAAGGAAAATAGCCAGCGGAAAACCACTTCCAATATGAGGGGTCCCCTCGGCAAAGGGTCAATTTGCAATCAGTGGCAGAAAATTGTGGAACTTTTCCCAGCAGGTGCTCCACGACAAACCACCGCCCCCTGTGTGTGTGTGACGCAGGGAGGTTCGCCCACACCACCTACATCACACCCTTTTGTGTGTGTCACAATGTCGGTCACCCACACCACACACACTATCCCCCCTATGTGTGTGTGTGCCACAGGGCCGATTACCCGCAGCCCACCCGCACACCCCCCTGTGTGTGCAAGGCACAGGGTGGCTCACCCTTGGTGTGCGGGGACAGCACCGAGTGCGTCGGCACAGGCAGCTCCCTGAGCGCCGTGGCCGTGTAGCTCTCCTTGATGTCTCCGTCTGGCGGGGCCGGCGGGGCCAGCGCCGTCGACGCGTCTGCTGGACAAGAGAGAGAGGAGGGATTGTTGTGGTGCAGTAGCAGCCAGACAGCTCGGGCAAAGTATTCATATTTCCGTAATAATGAGTTGTTGACGCCATCTAAATGAGTTCACGTTTCAACTTTATTTTGTTTAACCAGCTGAGAACTCAAGAGATCAGGATGAGCCTCACTTGGAAGCGTGACCTGGGTCAACGAAATGACAAAAGTATCGAACAAGAAACAAATAGAAATCACGGCAAAAAGAAAGAGAAATCTATTAAAAACTGCGTTTCAAAAGAAATTGAAAACACTACATAAACATAAATCAATAAAATAAAAACCATTTCCGTTCATCAACGACGTGGAATGCACCCAATCTCATCAGAACTTGGAAGCAAAGCAGAATTGCCTCAGTAAATCACGGAAGGTACAAAGAGGTATACTAAGCTACAGGCTTGTAGAAAGAGTCGTGTCATCCATTTGATCATCATTTCGTTCCTCTGGACATTTGAATTTGTTTATGAAAACGAGTCTAAAATTGGATACTCGCCGATCAAGATTTTTGACATACCTGTAACAAATGAGAGACGTGTTGGAGACATCACACTGAACGTTACGTATATGGGCTTGAGCAGGGTACGTCACGGCTAGAATGGGTGATGGCCGTGGGGAAGACTAACGATGGAATGACAGCCAAGGAGGGAACACGCCCGAGAGGACATCTGCTGCAGAGATGGAGCAGTGAAATAAACTCGTGCAGGTGCGTGACGAATTGTTACAGTGTAAGATCCTGAGAGATGGGCGATGGCTTGTGGAGGCCTTCATCCAGCTGTGGATTAATGGCTGATGACCATCACGAGGACGACGGCTGATGAAGGCGTTGCAGCACCTACCCCTCTCGGGACCAGCGTGATCCATCTCAGTTTTGACACCCAGGATAAAAACGACCGCCTGATTCGGCGTCGCCAATCGCCAAACCCGGACGATCAAAACTGCGCACTCACTCTGCCCGCTGCGCTGCAAGTACTTCTGGCGCTCCACGCGGCTGCGCCGTCGGTTGGGCTTCACCCAAGGGTTGCCCCCTTTCTGCTTGCCCCCCGCACGCTTGCGCTTGCTGCTTGACCCGGAGCTCTGACACACGCACACATGAACGCGCACACACTTGTAAACGGGTATCGTCCTGGACGTGCGCCAGGCATCGCCCACTGAGAGCGACACCGCCAAGGTGGAGGAGGTGGAGGAGGTTCCTCACCACGTCCGAGTGGTTCTCAGACTCCTCCCCTTCATCTTCGTCATCCTCCGTGTCGCCGTCCATCACCTCGCCCTCCTCCTACACGATCACGGCAACAGAAAGAGCGCATAAGAGCGTTACGTCTTAAATGTAATATCTTATTCGTCTTTTTCCCCAGTTTAATCCCAATTGTGCTGTCGATGTCCTGTCAACAGACCAGCGAGGTGAAGTATGGGCAGACAACCCCTACCCCCATTATCAACATGGCATGGACAGGACCTCATCCAGCAGTGGACTGACAAAGGGCTGAAAACTATTACGTTGATTACAAGATAAGGATTTGCAAGTACAGGGCCCTTGCTTAAATGCCTAAAGAAAGTCAAGCGCCTGATATATCACATCTCATCTCAACCATTCCAATTCCCTTCCGCAGCCAAGCTAAGGGGACTCCCAGTGGCAGCTATCCCTGTGCAGGAAATAAGGTGTGTGCAGCACCGGCCTGTAAATGGGCCTAGCAGTAGGGGGGAATTACAGGAAGTTACATTTTAAATGACAAGGACACACTTGGAGTTGTTACAATTGACAATGACACATATATCCTTGGCCATTTACATAGCACAGTAATCAACAGTTCAACTTAAAGTTTCTGTAATTTTATTGAGCTTTGCTCAGTCTAAACAATCTGCCCGAGAGAACTTGCGCTGCAGGAAATGTATTATTACAAGGTGATTTGTATTTTTTTAGGCAATATTTTAGATGTCTCACATGACATTTATTCTTGCCAAATTAGATTTCCTTTATTGTTGTACTTTATTTTGTTTTGCTTGTCATTTTGATGACCCAGCTCACTATCCTGGTCTCTTGAGTTCTCTCGGCCGCTTAAACATAAAATTTTAATCATTTCCACATAATGCACCTTGCTGCTTGCAACATCGCCGTCCAGAGACTGCGCTCCTCCCGACCGAGACTCCTGGGATGTGTGGGAGCCCACGCTGCCACTGCCACTGCCGCCGCCGCCTCCTCCTCCCATCTCCAATTTTCTCTTCGCTCCAACTGTTGCTCCCACCACTGCAGCAGCAGCTGCGACCTCCGACCCCGCGTCGCCTCCGACGGCATTCAACGCAATAGTCGACGCTCCCACCGCCGATAATTTCTTTTCATTGTCAGATTCTGCGGTTGCGGGTTCCGTGGGTGCAGTTGTGGCCACAGTTGCGGTTTTTGCGGTCGTTGCCACCTCGTGGTTGTGCTGGCGGGAGGGCTCCGTGTGGGTGTCTGGGCGGGGCGGTACGGCTGGCGTTGGTGCTGCGACCATACCAGACGCCGTCAGTGGTGGTTGGGTCTCGTCGCCCGAGGGGTCGGCCATATCTCGGTCACTCTCGCCATCGGAGGCCCGGTCACACTCCTGCATCACAACGCGCGAAGCACCACACCGATCACAAAGCCACACGGAGCGGTGCCGCAAGCGCCATAAAGCCAGCACGGTCGTGTGGTGTCATGTTAGGGGGGTGAAGGTTCCATTGGCAAATCTCACAGAGCAGTGCAACTCAATGGTCCGTGGAAAGAGATATCACAAAGTAATCTTTGCAATCCCTTCAAGTGACCTCTGCTCCACACAGTAGAGGGCAGTACTTTACCACCCACCTGGCTTCAGAGAGAAATGTACGTTACATGACAGTCAAACCGCTAATTCCCAGAGCTGCATTTTAGCCAAATTAAATTAATCAAATTGTGCAGTCATTGGTGTGAGGGCTGCAACCATCAACTCGCTCCACTTGAGAACCCAGCTTAATTCACAGGCAGCTGCCTGGAGTTAAACCCAGGATCTCAACAGTGCCAGATCAACTCAGCACTCTGACCTCAGTTCCCCGGTCATGTCATATTCGTTTTATAACATTTGCATTTCTAGCTGCTGACCATCTTCCTTTTTAGGCCACTGGGGAGGTACTCAGCAAATATGATTGAATAGTACCCACACATACACTCAACGTGTACAAATATAATCACGTGTTAACGATACTGGCAACGACAGCCGAGAGGTCTTTCTGTTTCTGTCTGGCCTCTCCACAATAGTTCTACAGATTCTCTTTCATTCTATTCAGAGCAAAAATTCGCCACGTATCCATTTACATTTCCATCTCTGGATATAAATTGATTAGGCTGCTCATAAAACATTTCGTTGCCTCACTGGCGATTTAGATTTTCTTTCTAGAAAGTGATTTCTATACCCATTGTACCTTCTATTTTTATTAACCTGGTGACCAGAGTTCCATTCCTGATCGCGAAAAAGGTGGTGACATCTCAATTGGTCCCGGGATTGAGTTTTATGTGGCTATGAAAAAGCAGGCCTGGGCTTTAAACTGAAAATGTTTAAAAATGTCTAGAACCAACCTGAGATAGACTTTAAAGATATATAAACACAGTAAAATCAGTCACCATAAATGACGCAATGTACTTGTAAAATGATATGGCAACCATTGCCGGTAAATAGCTTCTGCACAAAAAAGAATGCAGTTGCCCAAATCTGAACAAAGCGGTTCGCTGCTTCCCCACCAAGTGAGAAATTGTAATGGCAACTGCCAATCAGAGCACTGAGGCCACATGACTCCCCAAGGTTGTGCCTGGTAGACCAATTGCTGCTTATAAAACTAACTTTTCAATAAACTTTATCTTTATTGGCCAGATGTAATTGTCGCTCCACACCATTGGCTAACATAATTCCTACTAGCTTTTTTTCCCGTCCAAGGACGGGTGTATATTGCAGTAAATCTGAAATATGAAATAGAAAAAGTGTTCAGCTCATGATTATTAATGAGGGAGGGGGGTTGCCCCATGTGGAGTGACATCACCTGCTAATGGTTATTGGGGAGGGGTGCGGCATATGGAGTGACGTCATCCCCTCATGGTCATTGTGGATGGGTGCGGCATGTGGAGTGACTTCGACCGCTCATGATTATTCATGAGGTGAGGGGTGCGGCATGTGGAGCGCGCAAACTTCTTGTGCGTTCGTGTAAATTTCCACGCAGGCATGAATACAGTGGAACCTCGGTATACGACCGCTTTGGAATAAGTCGAATTTGGTATACATCGTGTTTTTTCGAGAGAGAAAATGTCTTGGGATACGACGTCTTGCGCTTGATAGAACTTGTATGGGTTGGGATGAGTCACCGCGTACAGTACCCGCGTATGCCCGTTCACGACTGAAACAAAGCGAGAGGGCCAGGGTGGCGTGGGGGAGAGGGGCGGGGGAGGTGGGGGAGAGGGGCGCGGCGGGCTGCCCCCATGGAGGGTGGAGCCCCGGGTCGAGGCGCGCGCGACGTGCGGTATTGAGGCACGCCACGTGACCAGCGGAGCTGGAAGCAGCGCGGTCACGTGGCTTCTGTATGCATTTTAGTCATTAGTGTCTACATTTTTTCATATACAACCCCAATAATGTATAATATGCCATATAAAATATCATTTATTTTCCTCTGAAACGGATTATTTCCTTTCCCTTTATTTCTTATGGGAAAAATTCGTTTGGTATACGTCATTTTCGGTATAAGTCCTACCTTCTGGAACGAATTAACGACGTATACCGAGGTACCACTGTATTAATGAAGGGGGCGTGGGGGCCTCTTTTACAGTGACGTCACGCACGGATGTAGCACTGGGCTGCATAGATTTATTTTTTACCGTCACTTTCTGTAAAGAAATCATATTTGAAGCGACTTTGCGCAATAAATTATTTAATTCAGCTCGACCTTCCTCTTGCGTTAGTGTAAAAATCCACCCTCATGAATATTAATGAGGGGGGGTGGGCCTCATGTGGAGCGTCGTAACGCGCGGGACGGACAGACATTTCTGGGTGATTATAGTAGGTAATTGTTGGTCAAGTGTGTCACACAAAAAAAAATATATAAATAATTAGCCATGCCATTTTTATAAATTATAGTAAAGTAATCATAGTAATGCATTTCCGATGGCTGCGATAATGAAGACGTGTGTGTGTCCGTGTGGGGAGGACGCTACTGGGCATTTGGAGGCAGTCGCCCTCAAACAACAGCGGACGACAGAGCAGCGAAGCTCACAATAAAGAGCGGAGCGCCGGGTGGCTAAAACAAAGCAAGTTGGCACAGTAGGGGGCACAGCTGGTGCCTCTGCCAGTCATCTCAGTCAACCCATGGCACCTGTGTCTATTCCATGACCTCCTGTCAGCGAGCCTTTGACACATCATGCGATGGCCTCAGTGCACCTAACTTGGCACAAGCGTTGTGGTGACATCACCGCCACAGTGGCGAATGGCGGCTGTTCGTGTTTCGTGTATACGTGTGTCTGCCTATAGAAACGATGCACAGAACTTCTGCATTCATCGTCAGTGTTGGCAAGCACCGTCTCACACCTCTGCGCGTCCATCTCTCTCGGGCTGCGCCACTTTTCCCTGCAGCATCTCCATCAGCGTGCGCTGACGGATCGGCTTTCCCTTCTTCTTCTGCCCGAAGCTGTACAGCCCCATCTTCCTTTTCCTCTTGCGAGGGGCTGGAGGCACGGCCACACAAACAGACAACGGAGTCTATGGGAAAGGAAGCAATGGAAGACAATACGGGAGGCCTTTTGCCCAGGCCAAAATACCCTCGAGAGAAGCTCTCTAAAGCTCTGTCTCGTAGAGGCCCTTTTGCTAGCAGTGGTGTGAACGAGCAATTGCAAGGCCGTGCTCGTGGCAGTAATGGAACCGATGATCGAGGAATTGATTACTTAAATAATGGATATCCCAGCTCAATACTAAACACTTTACTTTTCCAATGAGGCTGCCGACTTTCGCTTACCCGATGAGGAGGAGGAGGTGGCAGCTCCCTTCCCGTCCACCGCGAGGCCGACGGTGTCCGACGGGGGCGTTTCGGGGGCCTGTCCGCCGGGTCCCCCTGCGGCCTCGCTGGAGGCCTGAGCGCCATCGCCGCTCTTAGGGGGCGGCTTCACCTCGGTGCCATTGTTGATGGACACGGCCTGCCTAGTCGGGCTAGCCTGCTTCAGCTGGTTCACCGGGCTAGGGTTGGGCTGGCCGACTTGGCTCGGCAGGCTGTTTTGGCTGACTTTGTTTGACTGATCACCTTGGGTGGGCTGGCTGTATGCATGAACATTGTTTGACTGGTCACTTTGCTCCAGATGGATGAAGTTACTTGAGTTATGCGAGTGGGTGACTTGGGTAGGCTTGTTGACCTGGCCAGGCTGGCCAACTTGTCCAGGTTGGCTAACTTGTCCAGGCTGGCTGCCTTGTCCAGGCTGGCTAGCCTGGCTGGTCTGGCTGTTGAGGTGCGTTGAGTTCCCCTGCCTGATCTGGCTGACGGAGTTGAGGTGTTCTCCCTGGTCCCGTGGTGGTGGTGGAGGTGCTGGTGGTGTTTTGGGCGAATCGATGTTGGTGGCTTGACTGCCCTGGCCGGTCGGCGGAACATGCGTCACTTCGTTAATCTTTCCGGGCTCCTCCTCGGCTGCCACCGACACTGCAACTGCCGGCACCGGCACCGGTGTCGGCATCGGCGTCGGCGTCGACATCGGCGTCGGCATCGGCGCCGGCACCGACGCTGCCTCCTTGTTCTGTCCGCTTGCTTCCCGGAGCGGTACCTTGTGTTGGGTCCAGACGGGAAAGCCATCACACTGAAAATGGCAATAAGCGCGCGGGCGTCCATTTTGGCGATCGCACAGCACCACACCGCTCGCTCGTCCCCGTTTACCTGGCTCGGCGTAGGCTTGGGCAGAGTCTTCCGTGCGCGGTTCACCCTCACCGGCTCCGTGACAGGCGTTTGTTGCGGGCCCTCCGAAGGACCCCGCTTGGCGTCCATGGTGGTGCCTGCCGGCTTGGAGGGTGTGTTGCTGTGGCCCATACCGGCCATCGCGGTGGTCGCTGTGGCGGGACAACATGCGAGCGACCCACGTTTTGGGAATGACCGCTGTATCGGTCGGTGCACCCTCGAAGTCATGATAAATATGTAATCCATAAGGTTGGAGTAGCAATGGCAACAGTCAGGAGTATAGATGCTAGAACTTACAACTTCGTTACCAACGCGATTTAATGAAATGCCACGATTCAATAAAAACAATATATCAGTATAATGTGTCTCGTTTGCACCATCTCATTTGCATTAGGTTGATGTGGCATTCGTGCCATGCTTATGATGTACAAGTTATCACGATAAACATCTTGTTTATCTCGTGTTGCATGTTCTGTCTCATGCATTCCATTAGCCTAAAGTGGACATCTCCATAGAATTTGAATAAAATTTGCAAAAGTCACACGTTCCTCTTACGTACACCGTTCAACGCATGTGTCGTGAGCATAGTCGACTTCGCTCAATCCAACACATCGTCACACGCCTACACGGTGGATTAGTATGTTCCGTAGCGTAAGTGCAAGGAGCAATTAAACTTTGCCCGAGCACTAATTATGTTCTCAAGAACATCGAGTACAATGCGATGCAATTTGGGTTTAAACAGCAACGAAATACAACAGATGCTGTACAGAAACATTCAGCGTATATATTGTTTATAGATAAAACGTGACTGTCATAGGCAGAGGGGAAAAAAAGGTCACGAGCCTGGACTTGAAGGGCAGCAGCAGGGCATTGGCGGGACAGATGGCCCCCCTCTACCATTCCTTCAGCCCCTTGAGACACTGCCGCCTTACATCCAATGTGGGTCTGGCCAGGCCCTGCCCGTTATGGCTGGGCTAGTTCCTCCGATTCACATATTATTTGGACAATTAGCAGTTGCCAACAAAGCTTTCGTTCTATTTTCCAGGTTGCGATTGCTTGAAGTCCTGTAAATGTCGTTATATATTCCACTTTCAGTGCCCAGGAGTCCCGAGCAGACCATTGCATCTGCTGAGGTGGCTCTTCTTAATATTCTGTAACCCTCAAGTAAGGCATAATTTTTACACAATTTTTTGCTTGACCACAACCATGACCTCCCCTTTGCTTGACCAAAACGTGGCACTGTCAGAATAATTGTTACGTGGCGAACCAGGTAGCCGGCTCAGGTTTTGGTTTTGTTGAGAAGGCCCGTTTGTCTGGCAGGGTGGTTGCCTTCCAGAAATTCACCATCACGATCTTAAACTCACTCTGCAAACGACCCCTGCTATTAATGTTTCGAATGTTTCGTTTTTAAACTGGCACCTCCAAACACACTCATTATTTAATTTATCGTCAAAGTCCAACTCTTCATAAATTGTTGGAATGGTTGTCATTCCTTTTCCCTTCATTTAATACGAGTTTCATTTTGGGTGACCTCAACATTCAAGTTGACTCCAGCAAGTGTAATATGGCCCAGGAATTCCAGGATTTTTTGGATTGTTCTGGTTTTGTTTCACAATGTAAATTTCCAACTGACAATTGGGATCAAGCTGCGGTTCGCGTGCTCTCTCGTGGTCGGTGCAGGGTTTGCTGCCATGTGATGTTGCTGCTTCTGATGATCTGGTCATCCTCATTGAGCTCGAGATGGCCCTCACCTCGGCTAGAACCAAACGGGTTTCCAAACTTGCTGACACTGTTCTTTCATCAACGTCTTTATCTTTTCAGCCTTCGAACATTAAGGATATGATCGCCTTGGTAAGATGACCATCTTGGTTGTCTGAAGTCACTTGGACGTAAGCTAGAAATAATATAGAGGGATACTCACCCTGAGGAACATCTCCAGATCTGGCAGCATCATCAAGCCACCTATAGGGATGCATTAAACTAGGCCAGATCAACATGTTATTCTAATTTCATCAGGAATGGTGTTGGCAACCCTGGTACTCCCTTTTAAACCCTTGAGCAGATGCTGAAACCATCTAACCTCATTGGTCCTACAGCCCAATGTAATGTGTTTCTTGGGATCATTTCAGTCCGAGATCGATGCCATTAGCAATATTGATTGTTCTGTCATTGTTGAGCCTCGGTTGACTTCATCCTGCACATCCTAGGTTGTGCATTGCATCTTTTCACATCTCCATTTCTGTCTCAGCTCATTGATCTTGTTTCTAAACATAAACCCATCGTGTTCATCAACCAATACCGTCTTCTCTGGTTAACTCGATCTTCCATATTCTTAGTCGTTTGGTTATTTTCAAAGTAGATAACAAATTTCTTGGCACTGGCATAATGGCAACATCACTTAACTGTAATCGGTGAGACCATTGTTAAAGAATCCAAACCTTGACTCTGAAGTCATGCCTAATTATAGGCCGATTTCACACCTCCTGTTTCTCTCTCAAATCCTGGAGTTTCTGGTAGTTCAGCAGATTCAGGATCATCTTACAAACAATGATCTTTTCAAGCCGTTTCAATCTGCGTCCAAGCCACTGCACAGAACCGAAACAGCACGTGTTCGTAAATGATCTCATGGCTGCTGACCCCGGCTCACTCTCGGTCCTGGTGCTGCTGGATTATTGCAGTGTTCGATACAATTGATCATCCCATTCTGATAAACCGCCGTGAGACCCTGGTTGTCATCACTAGTGCAGCTCTCTCCTGGCTTGGTTTATAGCGGACACATCGTAGGCGGTGCGTCTCGATGCGTGGCTGTCCATCCACCCGCTGACCACCGGTGTCCTCTAGAAATCTATTCTAGGGCCTTTGCTGTTCACCATCCTACGTGCTGCCTCTTGGAAGCATATTTGGTCACTATGGTTTAAATGAAAATTTTTATGGGGATGATACTAAAAACGTATTGGCAGACCAGCCTGGCACCAATGCTGCTATTTAAGTGCTGTCACATTGTTTCTGAGGTCAAGAAGACAATGAACATACATTTCTTGAAGCATAACTCTGACAAGACCGAGATCATGCTGCTGGGTTCTCCCAACTTTCTTCATCAAGTTTATGGCATCAGTATGATGACTGACGTCAGTTCATTCTCTAAGATGCGGAATCTTGGAGTAATTATTCATCCTGGCTTGAATTTCGAGTGGTACGTCTCTTTTTTCATGAGCTTGATATCACATGCATTCATTCACCTCTCTCAATACCGGAGAATGACAGACTTCTACCTGTGTTTATTTCATAGAAACTTAAGGAATACTGCAATTCCTCGCTTGTCGGTCAATCAGAAAATGTCCTAACTCAGCTGCAGCTCAACCCAAACCTCTGATGTGGCGTCCTATTTCCTGAAGCACCACCTGCACAGACCGCACCTCCTGCCACTCACCTGTAGGCTTCATGATGAACAGAGACATCTTGGCACGGTTGGAAACACCGCTGAGGGATTTGGCCGCGTGGCCGGGGATGATACTGATAGGAAGGCGCAGAGGGGAGTTGACCCGAGCGGGCGACTCGACCGACACAGAGGCCCCCTTTGGCGTCACGTCACCGGCAGGCGACCCCTGCGAGGGGACGGCTTCCACCTTGACCGGTGACGGAAGCTCAGTCGCCTTCTCGGGCCTCTCTACAGGAGGGTTGCAAGGCCTCGCTTCGCTGGCGTCGTTAAGCCCGTCAGCGTTGCTGGCCCTCACTTTGGGCAGATGATCATATCCTTTGATGGTGGTCTCCAACTCGGTCAACTGCCTGTCGAGAAGTCCGGAGTCACCTCCTGTTGTCAAAAGGTATGGTAAGGGGTGACAGCCCAACATAAATATATAAAGACTCAACCTGGAAGAGTTGCTGCAAGATTTCCCTGTTGCAAAGTTCACTCAAGAATATTTATCTGATTACATTCCAAATGTGCCACCATCATTACATGTGTGCTCCTATTAAAACGACTCTAAAAAATAAGCCATCTCGGTAGCTAGACACGATCGTTTGTCATGAAGGAATAATTTGCAAGTTAAAGCAGATCAAAGTAATAAAGACAGGCCAACGTGGTGAAGACAGAACGTTGTGGTATGACACGCATTTGTAGCAGTGGAAATACAGGGTAACGATATAATATCAATCCACGATTGATTGAGTGCCTAGCCTTGCCGTGCAGGACGGGGGGATTAGTTCACCATGCAGGTTGGTCAAGGTGGGGAACACAGAAATGGGACCATAAAAGTATTGTCAAACAATGGATGCTGCTGCACTGCCCACTGCTGCCCTACATGTGGTACTGCAATCATATTGCGAAATGGAAGAGCATCCATTTAAAACGATTCTAGCAAAGTGCACCTCCATGTTGAAGAACAGCCTGAGAGGCTTAAGTAGCAAAACTGTCTGAAATCACTTCACTTGCCTATTTATCCACACTCGGCACAGACCTTTGCTATACTCTGAAACGTGCATTCATCATGTATATTAATGCAAAATGTTTCATTGTCATGAGCTGCATTCATAATTATAAGTGTAAGCCCTTTGTCAGTCCTCCACTGGATGAAGGCCTCCCCGCCAAGTGTTGGTCGTGCAAGTTGCTTGACCATACTTCACCACACTGGTCAGTGCTGGTTGGTCAAGTGGAAGACAGGTGTATTAAGCAGAAGAAAATTTGAAAACGCTAACTTAACAAAAGCATGCATTAGTGATGAGGCCGAGATCATCAACTCGCTGCACTTGGGAACCTCATTAATCCCTGGGCGGGTGAATCCTGCATTCTAACCCTGGATGTTACCCGGCCCCTCTCACTCTACAGTGTTCACAAAGTATCAATACACTGTCAAGTACAAGTCTACATCATCGTGGAATGCTTTGATGTTGTCTGCCGACCGAGTCATCATTGAAAAAGATCTTCTTAGGTCAATGGGCTTTACTCAGGGAAAAACATTTATGATTCTGAATCTTCTGACATTACATTTCATTGTCTTTCTAGGTTGCCGAGTACCTAAATAAACCAAGACAGACACATGTGGCTCAGCGGTCGATCGCGAAGCCCCCACTCGTAAAGTTGGAGTTCGAATCCTGGTTTGGGGGTTTATTCAGATCACCATCCCTACAGAGTGAATCAAATAGGTATCACTATGTAGGGCAGTCAGCTGTGGTTGTCCTACAGATAGAATCATCCCTGCTCTAAGAATGGGGAATTTTCACCACTGGCCCATGGCTGTCTAATGGGAGATTAGCACCATCTCTAACTTTAGACTTTTTTGCCCTGGCTGTGGTGTGTAAAAGAAGACCAGACAAACATGGACGGATTAGGCATAAGATTCAGCTCTGCAGTGAAAATAATGGAATACACAGCATTAGGCAGATCGTGTAAAGTGTATTGGGACTTTGTTGACAATCTGTAGAACATATGTGAAGGTTTCTGGGACACTACAAGCAGCACTATTAAAAAGACAATTTGCCGAATAAGCACATTTTCGAGCCTGGCAGCAACTCAACATGCTGCATACCTTGCATATCACCCGCAACCTTGTTGCAGTCGCGTCCAGCCACAGTTACCTGGGATTCCACCTCCTTATCAACCTGTACAGCAACAACGAAAATATAAAATCAGACCAAAAACGTTCTCACGAAGCCAAACATTCAAATGCGTAGAGCCACATTTTAATGGAGCGACGGTGGTGCCGTGGTTAGAGCTGTGAACCCAACGACCATACTTCCATTCCCAGCCACAACACGAGGGGTGAATTGTCTGAACCTGCGCCTAACCTTCAACAACCTGCGACGACCAGTATGGTGAGGTATGGACAAAACAGGCCTTCAACCATCAGTGGATTAACAAAGGGTTGAAATAACGCTTGCACCAAATATGAAAAACAAAATGGCTTGAATTTGCATTATTGTTAATTACTGTACTTATATTATAGCAAATAATTGCAGTGTGAGTAGGAACTCATGCGTGTGTGTCGATGGTCATCTGTCAACAGATGAAATAGACTGTGGGAACTACTACAGGTCAATGTCCATATCTAAAGCCTTCCCAGCAGACCACGAGACAAGACAAGGGCCAAAAAACATCGGAGGAATTTTCCCTGTTTTGATGCGTCGTTCCAAAAAGGACAAAAGTAATGACCTCGCTGCTAAAAGCAAATCGTCTCACCAGCCAGCCGCTGCAATACGGTGCACTTTAGAAACTGATGTGTACATTTCACAAAGCGCGATTGGCAAGGGTCAGAGGCAACAACCGTCGAACGCCAGCACCATCTGAAACGGTTTTAAATCGGAAACGACGTCGCACGCCTTTAGACATAGCAATTAAGTGTAAAGCGACTAGCAAGATGAACGACAAACAGATGTTATTCCAAATACTCGCCATCAATTAAAACGCTTTACTACTTGGTCTTCGAGAGATCTTGCAAGGGTAGAAAAAAATTGCAAAGTCTAAAAGCCAACTTTCTGCTTTTCCACTCAGAGAACAAATCAACCTGAGCATTGCAAGCAAATGGTATTTTTGGCAGCTATTCATCTGCGTTGTGAAATAACTCATGGAACCATCATCAATTGCAGACCAAGAGGTTTACCTCATCGATGCAACCAGCACAGACGTACAACCCACAACTGGAAGCTATAGACACTAACCCCACCTTTTTCCCAGCAGGTTTTGCAAGATCCATTGATTGCAAAGAGACTGCCAGCATGGCAGAAGTTCTGCAGTTAGCCAAAAAGGAAGCCAAGAGAGTACAGTACTTTTCAAATACCCACGATAGCACTCTCAAAAACAGTGGGCCCGGCTTTGGCTGGCATGCTGGGGCTGTAATGAAGGTCGCCTCACATTAAAAGGAGCTCGAGGTTGCTGCCCGAGCCTCCACACACAACCTTTGAAAAAGTGCTCATCACACCTCCAGGCCATTACTGTACTCGCCACTTCCCAGCAGACGGCCAAGGACGGGCAACCAATTGCACGCAGGGCGCGTGCCACGAGGACGCGTGTGGCCCGCGCGCGTGCACCGCGGCACGCGCCACCTGCAGCCCCCTCTCATCAGGAACACGTGGGGATTGCACAAGCCCAAGATGGCCGCCGCTGCCACCGCCGCCTCCTCCGCCGCTCATTCCACCGGATGATCAGCTGACACGCCGCTGCTGCTACCGCTCTTTCGTTTAGGCCAAGGGCCGATTTCAAAATACGAGTCCCACCCCACCCCACCCGACTCGGGGAAAACCAACCACCACATCGTTCGGGCAAAGACCTGCACATTTTTTCGAGACTGCCATTCGGAATTATAGGCAAAACGTTCGGCTTTTGTTGTCGTTTTTTTGCAAGGATTCCACCAAAAAAGCCCTTTTATGAGCACAACAAAAGGCAGGGATGGCACACTCCACGCCAACCTATGAATAGCCACGATTGTGACTCGCCTGCTAGAGGTCTTTGCAGGGCGTGCACATCAACAGCCGGACGTTTTGTTGACCAATGACTTTAACATTGGAACATCAGTTACATCACACTGACCTGTCCCGATGTTGCCAACACGCATGTTATCGAAATTAAACTGGACACTCAATCCAAGCACACGACGGCATGTGGGATTACCGACGCAACGTCGGGCCTGCGTTCTCCTCCCTCGTGTCAGCTCCGGAGTAACAATGGAGCCGAATCACATCTCTCCATCCACCTTTGTTCTTTTACCAGTTATGTCGCTTCGTACTTGCACACATTTTGTTCAATGTCATCACCTGTCTTTGTTACATCAGTCCATCTTATTAGGTGCCTCCCTCTCCTGCTTTGTTCCTTGTACTCACTACGGGATACGATTTGAAGTGTGTGTATATGTACAGTATTACTAAAAAGCGCTCTGCGTGTATTTGTGCAGCACATCCAAACCATGTTAGTCACCCGTCCATGCACGGCCACGAAGCAGGGCTCGTCACAGCATAGAGAATACGTCGTTATCAGCAGGAAGAAAGAGTGTCATTAGACAAACAGCCCACGTACACGAAAGTGTACTTTAACAACACCATGTACAGCTCTTACAAGAGAAAACAAGGAAGTAGATGACCGACCGACCGAACAGTATCACCGTTTCGCACGAGCCCTCAATTGCCACATCTCCTCCTCAGGCATTCCTGACATTTTCAAGGGACTCTGTTTTCCGGTTAGAAAAACAGGACTCCTCCTGCCAGAGCAGGCAGCCTCGGATGGACATAGTGGTCTGCAGACCTGTCCTGTCGCCACGTGGTTTCTATGGTCCTGCCTGACAAGGAGACGACCCGAGATGATTTGTTTGCCGAGTCACGGCAGGGCCCACCGGAGGACCTGCGACTCCGTCCAACTCTATGATGGGCCAACTCGCGTGACATGCCTTCACTACCGTCAGCTGCTAGCTTTCCCACCTCCTCAAATAACCATAAAACAAACCCTTCATTGCAATTATTGGTCTCAAAATCTAAACAATGCCTTCATGCCCGGTTGTCGAATTGTCCATGCCTTCACGACAATAACAGAACTATATTCTGTCTACACACACTCTTTAGTCCATCAGCCGATTGGTTTTTCAGACAAATATCCAGCAGAAATTGTTAATGCAAGCAAACTCTGGTCCAGTTTCGACATTCTGGATCTCATCAGCAGCCAGGCTTGTTAAACAAATACTGCTCGGTTCCCAGATCTAATTGGCATGAGATGTTACCCAAAGAGTTTAACTGCAACGATTGGTCGTAAAATGCAGACAATGCCTTCACTACTAAATTGTTTTCACAACTAAACTATTCCTTAAATACGATGTCTTATTGTCAACAGATAATAAAGTTTAAAATGACAGCTTCACTGCAATGATCTATTCAAATTGAATGGTGGCGCAGTGGCGAGCACACAATTTGCTGTCAATGTGACGATTTCAGTTTGATTCCACTAAAGTCACTGGTCAGTTAAAACTAAACCTGTAATCAGCAGCAAGGTGAAATATAGAAAAACAATCATGATCGACAGTGCGATATAACCTTCATCCAGCAGTGGATTGACGAAGGTTTAAAATGTAGCATGTTTGTGTATTTAATTACCTGTTAGCACGCTGCTCTACGAACCTGGCCACCCAAGTTCGATTCTCAGCCCAGCTAACATCAATGGCGAGACATAACTAAGCAAGTCCTGGGGTCCCCCCTTCAAAACCAGTACTCGCCAGCAAGGTGAAGTATGGTCAAACATCCAACATGACGGACATAGCATGGGGAAGCCTTTATCAAGCAGTGGACTGACACATGCCTTTATGTTTTAACATTATTTATATAATCTGAGCTGTCTTTGCTACAAAACAGGTACTACTAAACGAAACTTGCAACTAAATACTGTAATTACTTCAATAAAATGTACCGTCTTCACAATCTCACATGTCATCACTACAAACGAGCTAAGATGGAGAAGCCTCATATCGTTGTTTTAATAGGAACTTCCATCACCACCAGAATTCAACCTTCGCCAGAGAATTCTGCCTCAAATATCAGAGCTGTCTTTACCAGAAGATGTCTTCAATAGTAGTGCTATAATCATTAGCAAGTGGTATCCTAATTACCAGAGCTACTTTCACTTTTTCACCAAAGCTGATTTCAATCACGTTTATGATACTGCATTGACAATAGTGCACGTGCACAAATGACAACAATCTCACATTTTCTCATAACACTGCCCTATAGTTAAATTATAGGCGGCGCTTTCGGTAATGACCCTTCATAGCAGAGGTGATTTCGAAGGTGCTAAGTTTAATCTGGTGTGGCCTTCACTATCCTCCAGCATGTTTTGACATGGAGTCACTTCTACCATGAAAATAAACTCACCTTCCCATGCAACACAGGAACACAGTAACTCCCCTCATCAGTCAAACTTCACGTGCTCTGCTGAACGCTCTCTTTCTTGCATTACTGTTGCTGAACACAAGCCCACACGGCCCGAAACGCCAAGCGGTCAGCAACAAACAGCAGTGCTTGAATGAAGCAGGAGGTGAAGCGCTTAACATAAACATGAGGGCTTGGCCGTAGGGTTATGTCTTCAGGAGACACCCAACTGCATGAACACACAATGGATTATTACTGAACATTTTATTTATTGAGCCGTCTGTGGTTAGATCAATTCCGCAAAGGACTTCCAGATCATCACCAAACCACCGCGTATTTTTTTACCAAAGGCAACGAAAATGAAAGAAACACAGATCTGCTATCCACGCTGGCACATGCCCTAGCCATGCATGAGTCCAAAGTTCGAACATCTTCACCCAAGAGGCTGAGAACGGCAAAGTACAACCTCCTGGGGCTCTGAGGAGGACAAAGCCGAATGCTGCGCCTGGATAAAACTTCCACAAAGCAGGCACTCAAGACCTCACAAGCCTCTATCTCTCATCTCCACTCCCCTCTCGTCCCACTGAGCAGCACTGCCGGCGTAGAGGACCACCACGCGTGGCTGCGGAGAAGCAGCAGCAAGAAAGACCCGCCACGATATTTTAACTCCACCATCCATCTTCTCCATCACCACAACCTCCAACTCAACAAACACCACGTACTGCTCCAACACCTCCTCCAAAACCACCTCCATCACCATCACCACCGCCTCCACCGCCACCTCCTCCACGCACAACCGCTACCACATCTTGATCTGCTCCTCCATCCATCTCGGCGCCCGAACGTGCTGGCCACCGCGCCAGGCCGGGGCCCCGCAACCCGCATTGCGCGCCGCGTGCCGCCCGCGCGCGCGCGTCCCGCGCCGCCACGCAGGGTCCGGGGCCCCCGTCCGCTCCTGGAGCAGAGGCAGCGGGGAGGGCGGAGCGGGGGCTGCCCTCGCATTCCTCCTGCACCAGAGGAGAGGGGGTCCTCTGCGGGGGTCCGGCGCTCGGTCGTGGCCTCGCGAGGGGTCCCCTCGGCGCGGGGTCCCTGCAGGGGGGGTCCCGCGGCTGGGAGCGCGCGGGCGAGGACGCGGCGCGCCGCCTCCACTCACCTCGCTCGGCGGGGCGGCCATGGCCGACGGGCGGCAGCAGCGCGCACGCGCGTCGTGACGTCACGGCGCGAGCGGGACCGTCCGAACGGGGACCCCCCTGAGCCTCCACGCGCTTATGAGCCCCCCCCCCACACACGCACCAGGGGGGCATCAGAAACAATGTAGAGCCACACAAATTGAGACGGTTAGATGGTGGGAAAATTAGTCTTTCGTACACGGGCCCCATCCCCACTCCTCAGGAAAAAGGGGGGGGGGGGTCTAAGCAGCCAAGAGGTAGCAAGGGGCCCCCTCTCGCACGGGCGCTCTTCACACGGGGTCCCTCAGTCCAACGCTGATCTCAACACACACAAGCTGTCTCGCACATGGTATCAGACTAGGGATACTTCGCACGAGGTCCCCAAGAAAAAAAACCGAGGGTTTCTCGGGAAAGGGAGGGCCCTTTCACACGCGAGTTCGCTCACTCAAATGGGACCCTTACAGGGGGGTCCATGACAGAAAAAGGGGGGTCCATGACAGAAAAGGGTGTCTCCTCCATGGGTCTCAGACAAGGGTGCCTCTCACACAGAGCCTCTCGCCCCAACGGGGTCCTAAACAACGGGGTCCTCACACGGCATTCTTGACAGGGGGTACCCCTACGGGCTACTTAGACAAGGCGTTCCCCTCAAGGAGCCCCTCTCTCCAGCGGAGGCCACAGCAGTGCTTGATACAAGGGGTCTCCTCGCACAAGAACCCCCTCACACACCGACAAGGGCCACAGGGCTGGCACACCTTCCTCCAGCAGGGCCCGTTACACGGGGCCACCATGGTCCCGGTCGATCTCCTCCTCCTCATCGTCGTCATGACAATCATCCCATTTGCACAGAATTTGGCTGCGGAGGGCAGTGCAACAACAAAACTTTGGGTAATATACTGTACAGTACTTCTATGCTCCCCGACTTCACCAATCCGCACTGACCAATGTGAAGTCCTATGAACCCCACGATCCACAGTGCGTGCAGAGGCCATCATCCAGCAGTAGATTGACAAGGGTGTTGTACGTGTCACCCATGATTAGAGCCTCACTGCGTCTCAAGACGTGTCCAGGAGGTAACTGCACTGTGATATCTGGCCAATATAATTCATGCCACGTAGTAAGAAACCACGTACAAGAGGAACACTCAAAACTCCGCACGGGCAGATTAAATAATCCATTGCTCTACCGCCATCTCCTGGCCACATCGCAGCCCAAGCGCATACTTGCCTTTCTCATCCCAATCTGTTTCATGCCACTCAGCTCACCCTATTCCCTGCAATCGTGCACATACTTCTCAAGCTGACGATGGTGATTGTGAGATACGAGACCATGGTGGTTCATTAGTTCGACTCCTTTCCGAGGTAACACGCTTCACAGGGGCCGGCAGAGACAGCTAAATATATCGTGTTAAGTTATCTAAACAAACATCTCCTGGTCTAAACATCTCGCAAAGACTTCCCCTCACCGTTCACCATAGAATACAATATACGTACAACAAAAAACTGAATACATTCGTCAATAACACTGCCTTAAAATAAAACTATACAGTTGGTAAAGTTTCAGGCAATGGCCCTTCTTTACAGCCCATGGTGTAGGTAGACAATGACGAGTTGGCATGTGGCCGCACTTGCAGCACTAAAACCAAGTTGCCCCACTCCTCCTCCTTCTTCTTCTCCTTGAGGCCCCACCACCGCTTTCCCTCTCGGTGTCTCCGACTGTCACAGCCTCACGTCGCGTCTCTGCTCGTGCCCCCTCGGTGTGGAACTCTCATCCCTTTGCACAGCCGCAACATCAAATGCACTCTTTCAAGAAACGTCTAAAGGCCTCTCTCTATCTGTGTGGGTGATGATTTCGAGCAGCCCCCAGCTTGGCTCCACGTGTTATAAATATTATTTCTAAGGCCGTGAGACCAGACGCAACTTTTGGATGTCATCCTGACTTAGTGACCTGAGCCATCGGCAGCAGCTGCCGGTAAGACATTGCAACAGAGAGTGTGCAGTGTGTTGTTGTTCACGACAATGTGAGAATCTACACAGCACGGCCGTGGGGCCCTCAACGTCGTGAGAAGCCGCGAGCCTGACAGGTAACGATCACAGAGAGCTGACAGGTAACCATCATAGAGAGCTGACAGGTAACGATCATTGAGACCTGAGAGGTAACGCTCATAGAGAGCTGACAGGTAACCATCATAGAAACCTGATAGGTAACGATCATTGAGAGCTGAGAGGTAACCATCATAGAGACCTGACAGGTAACCATCATAGAGAGCTGAAAGGTAACCATCATAGAGACATGACAGGTAACCATCATAGAGACCTGAAAGGTAACCATCAAAGAGACCTGAAAGGTAACAATCATAGAGACCTGAAAGGTAACCATCAAAGAGACCTGAAAGGTAACCATCATAGAGACCTGAAAGGTAACCATCAAAGAGACCTGAAAGGTAACCATCACAGAGAGCTGACAGGTAACCATCATAGAGACCTGACAGGTAACCATCATAAAGACCTGAGAGGTAACCATCAAAGAGACCTGAAAGGTAACCATCAAAGAGAGCTGAGAGGTAACCATCATAGAGAGCTGAGAGGTAACCATCATAGAGAGCTGAGAGGTAACCATCATAGAGAGCTGAAAGGTAACCATCATAGAGACCTGACAGGTAACCATTAAAGAGACCTGACAGGTAACCATCATAGAGACCTGACAGGTAACCATCATAGAGACCTGAAAGGTAACCATCATAGAGAGCTGAAAGGTAACCATCATAGAGAGCTGACAGGTAACCATCAAAGAGACCTGACAGGTAACCATCAAAGAGACCTGAAAGGTAACCATCATAGAGAGCTGAGAGGTAACCATCATAGAGACCTGACAGGTAACCATCATAGAGACCTGAAAGGTAACCATCAAAGAGACCTGAAAGGTAACCATCAAAGAGACCTGACAGGTAACCATCATAGAGACCTGACAGGTAACCATCATAGAGACCTGAAAGGTAACCATCAAAGAGACCTGAAAGGTAACCATCATAGAGACCTGAAAGGTAACCATCATAGAGACCTGAAAGGTAACCATCATAGAGACCTGAAAGGTAACCATCATAGAGACCTGAAAGGTAACCATCAAAGAGACCTGACAGGTAACCATCAAAGAGACCTGAAAGGTAACCATCATAGAGACCTGAAAGGTAACCATCATAGAGACCTGAAAGGTAACCATCATATAGAGCTGAAATGTAACCATCATAGAGACCTGACAGGTAACCATCATAGAGACCTGAGAGGTAACCATCATAGAGAGCTGACAGGTAATCATCATAGAGAGCTGAGAGGTAACCATCATAGAAACCTGAGAGGTAACCATCATAGAGACCTGACAGGTAACCATCATAGAGACCTGACAGGTAACGATCATAGAGACCTGACAGGTAACCATCATAGAGAGCTGACAGGTAATCATCATAGAGAGCTGAGAGGTAACCATCATAGAAACCTGAGAGGTAACCATCATAGAGAGCTGAGAGGTAACGATTATTGAGAGCTGAAAGGTAACCATCATAGAGACCTGAAAGGTAACCATCATAGAGAGCTGACAGGTAACCATCATAGAGAGCTGAGAGGTAACCATCATAGAGAGCTGAGAGGTAACGATTATTGAGAGCTGACAGGTAACGATTATAGAGACCTGACAGGTAACGATCATTGAAAGCTGACAGGTAACGATCATTGAGACCTGACAGGTAACGATCATAGAGACCTGACAGGTAACCATCATAGAGACCTGACAGGTAACCATCATAGAGACCTGACAGGTAACGATCATTGAGACCTGACAGGTAACCATCATTGAGACCTGAGAGGTAACAATCATTGAGACCTGACAGGTAACCATCATAGATACCTGACAGGTAACGATCATTGAGACCTGACAGGTAACGATCATTGAGACCTGACAGGTAACGATCATTGAGACCTGAGAGGTAACCATCATTGAGACCTGAGAGGTAACAATCATTGAGACCTGACAGGTAACCATCATAGATACCTGACAGGTAACGATCATTGAGACCTGACAGGTAACGATCATTGAGACCTGACAGGTAACGATCATTGAGACCTGACATGGGCTAGCAGTGGGTCTGGGTCATAGGGGTTAAGGGTGGGCGGCTTCAAGGCGACGATCCAAATCCCCCTTAGAGCAATAGAATAATAATAAATAATGGATGATGATGTGTAGTTGGTAACATCTTCAGATTAAATCTTGATTTGAAAGTTCAGTGACTGAGCGTTTGACTCTTCATATTGTACCGCTCTCCATCGGGACATCCCTATCCGTTGTATGATTTCTAAGCGCCGGCCCATTGTAAATAGCAGAGCGAATAAGCAGCGCCGGGCACGATGACCTTCAATGTCCGAACCGAGATAAAATAGTCACGTCATTTCAACGTCGTCCTCATGAACTACACCATCTCACACGCCTTCGAATGATTGCCCTCCTTCGTTGACATTGGTGAAGCGGTCTAAGACGAGTTCTCCGGACATTGTCGTGTTGTGGCTCTACAGGTGACCGCGTTTGAGTAGAATCCGTAGTCCATGTGTTTCTACCACCCATGTTCACACAGGAAAGCATCTCCGAGTCTCAAGGCGCTTTAATCCTGCCAAGTTGTCGTAGCAGGGGGCAATGCTGCCGTGTGTAATTGAGTAACCATGTGTCGGGTGATCCGTTTGCAACTCCAGGTGAAGATCAATCAATTCACTGCTGCCCGAGGTCCTCCCCCCCCAAGCCTCCTCCAGCTCTCACGGATGTCCGATGCCACACTCCCACCTCGTTACCTCGATCCATCTCCCACACACACTACACACACTACAGAGAAGAGCTTCTCCCATTCTTCTGCCCCCCCCCCCCCCCCCCCGGGACCAGTGACACTCCTCACCGTCAATCCTCACACAAACGTGAGCGGACCACCGTGCACCAAT